CAATTTTTTGTTCAAAAATTTGTTTAAAAAATTGTTTAAAAAATTGTTTTTATTTTTTTTCTCGAAAACTATTGCAGATATAAAGCCCATTGTAGTCAATTCTATGACACTACTGGGGATGAGTCTCCCTGATTTTTTCCCCACAGATCTGAGCAAGTATGCGAACAAAATCTTACGAGAAGCAAAATTTTAAACGTTTCGACTAAATCTCTAAAAAATGTCCAAAGTCACATTCCCTTGAGCCAAAATGAAGCTTACTCAATTATCTAAAAGGATTTTAACACAGAAATTGTAAAATCTTCATCCGTCTACATCAAAATTTTTTTTTAGAAAAGTGCTTTTAACATGTATGAGCCCCCTTAACGTTGGTGCACATACACAGAAATTCGTCCAGAAGCTCAACAGTGTGCACTGCTGAACTGATTCTCAGCCCTGGCTCTAAGCCCCAGGCCTCTCAGTGCACTAGCGGAACCGGTAGAAGCGAATTCAAAGGAAGAGACCCTGCCTCTCACAACGGTGCCTTCAAACTCCTTGGTGTCAGCATGTATGCGTCATGCGTACAGTTTTGTGGAAACAAAACTACGGCGTTATCTCGTTGCTTTGCCTCTCTCGCACTCACGGGTCAGCTAGAGAGCGAGAGAGACAGAGCGACAGACAGTTCCGTGCCAACATAATTGCGGAAGGACTGAGCTCGCAAATGTGAACGATCTCACCCGTAACACAAAGGTTTTCAAGTTCGTAACATCCAAACGAAATCATCCGTGAAAAACGCACGAAGAAATCTTTGTATTGCGGGTGAAACCACCCCAAGTCCATCTGTAATTATGTTCGCACAAAACTGTCTGTCGGTCTGTCTCTCACACTGCAACGGACCCGTGAGTGCGAGCGAGATAGAGCGACGAAACGACGCCTCGGTTCACAGAAATGCTCTCGGTGCGCCAATAAAAAAAGGCACACAAATTTGAGAGCAAAACTCTAAAGTAGGCAGCCAAACAGAATTGGCGAATGGTCAGGACGAAAAACGGGGCGAAAATAAGACGGCTGCTCACTGGACAAGATGCGACATTTCAAAACAAATGGCATACCTTTATTTCCTTCTGAGGAGCAATATAGATGACGCGAGTTTTTAAATGTCAAACCTTGTCCAGGAAACAGCGGCCCCATTCCCACTCCGTGTCCCAAAATTAAACTAACCAACGACGACTAACGGACCTGAGGGGGCAACCACTCTAGAAATCTTGTGTCCCCTTAGCGCCAGAAATCTCTGGGAAACCAGAAATCTTGACCCAAGAAAGGTCAAAAACAAGGTAATCTTGGGCGGAATATCGGTTAAAATCTTGCGAAATCCGACGAAATCTTTAGCCTTAAGAAATCTTGTGTCCCCCAAACACCCAATGTGGTTGCCCCCCCTCGAACGGACCCGTGAGTGCGACCAAGTGAGAGCGACGAAACGACACCTCGTTTCACAGAGGTGCTGCATAGCGAGCCAATAAAATTAGGCACACATATTTGAGGGCGAAACTCAAACCTAAGAAGCCAAACAGAATTGGCAAGCTCGTTCGGGTAGTTTCAGAACACGGGGCGAAAATACGACAGCTGCTTACTGGACAAAATTTGACATTTCAAAAGTCAAGACATGACCTCTCAAATGTCAAATCTTGTCCAGGAAACAACAGCCCCATTCCTGCTCCGTAACCGAAAATCACAATAACTACTGCAACCGTAAAGCAGCAGAGAGGGCTGTGAGGTTTGTACGTTACCGATAGTTTTGTGCAGCCATGAAAAAATTAAGTTCGTAAAACAGACAGTTTCACCGCAAGAAAACTGTTACGGTGTCCGTGACTTACGGAAAATTCCGTGGCAAGTAACGGACACCAAAAACACCGTTAGACGGACAATCTCATCTGTATTTGAAACCAAATTCCGTTCGTATTCAGCACTCTAAACTCCTTACGGATACCGTGTAAGCAGGTTGCGGACAGCCTTGTGCAGCGACATTACGGATCGCATTCCGTTAGCAAGACGGTCAGAAACATCCGTATTACAAACGAAATTAGAGCCACAATATGGCTGCACAAAACTATCCGTAACCTACGAACACGGCATCGGTAAGGACTTGAGCGAGTGGCTCCACAAAGCTACGTATTGTAAAGTACAAACCCTGCATGCGAATGCGGACACACAACCACTGCCGCTGTCTCTCGAAACCATCGGCGTCCCGTTTGGGTGCGTGAGAAAATGACGAAAACGGCTCCCGGAATCAGTCACTCGGACTAGCGGCCCACAGTGGGCCAGATGCACGGCGCAGGCGTCCCCCGACGCGTTTTGAGCTGCAGAGTCGCTAAACAGGACTCGAACCGATCGAGTGACCGCCACCAATGGATTGGTCTCCGAACGAGGAATCAATCCATTGGTGGGGTCACACGTTTGGTTCGAGTCCTGTTGAGCGTCTCTGCAGCTCAAAACGCGTCGGGGGACGCCTGCGCCGTGCATCGTGCGTCAGGCGTAGAGACCCTCGGGAGGGTCTCCAGTCTGGCGTAGCGTGCGGCGGCGGAGAAGACGGGCCCCCAGCGACACTCTCAGATCATCAGTTGGACTCATACTGGCTGGCTGCTGGCTGACTGCTGACTGACTGGCTGGCTTGCCGCTTGCCAGACTCCGCCGAGTAGAGAGCGCCACAGTCGCGCGCCTTCGGCTCGGCTGCCCGAAGTGCACCCGAACGCCATGCCCGAGCCGCGCTAGGGACACAGAGAGGGTCCCTGGGTCCCTAAGCCGCGCCCGAGCGCCCCCCGCCCCAAAGCGCACCGAACAAGCGAGGTAGGGCGCGGGGAGGGGCGGGGGAGCGCCCGATGCTAAGGAGGGTCCCTACCTACCTCCCATGGCCGTACACGTCGGGAGGAATTTTCCGCAAAGGGGGGGGGGTCGCGCGCCTGTTTGCCTGGATTCGGGCCGGGCAGCGAGGGACCTGTCTTCGGGGAAATCCGGTTCCAGGAAGGACATTTTTACGCGCAACGGAAAGCGCCCGGTTTGAAACCTTGGACATGGGGGCGCAGCAAAGTACTCATCCCACACTGGTAGCCAACGAGACAGGTCCGTTTGAATATGATGTCACATTCGTTTAAACGTGACTCGGCCGTTTAAAAAAAGGCTGTCACATTCGTTAAAATGACATTCAAACGAATGTGACATCGCATTCAAACGAACGTAACAAAATTCACATTCGAATGAATATGACGTCACATTCGTTGGTTTCCAGTGCACATCAACTTCAGCGGAGCACTCGGATGACCCCCGCCCCCTCCCTTTCCCTCCAAGGCAATGCTCCATAGTGTTGCGTACCATGTTATACCAAATTTTTGATGTACACTGAACACCTAAATGTATACCTAGTGCACACTTCAGTTCTTTCTGTGTGTACTGAGTACACCGAGTGAGAACCCACATGAGTTCTCAGTGTAGATGTGGGTGGAATGAGCACCGCCAACGCTGTTATTTTTAAAATTTAGGCTAAGCTGACGTGGTGCAGAATACTGTTGATATTTATTGAAATCACCAAATAAATGAACTTGAAGCTAGATAGGCATCGGTTGGTCTGGACGACGCCACGATTTGTTTGCCATTTCGCAATGTTTTCGCGGCCAGAGTCGAAGGGCTGGAGTGTGGTGCGCCGGGACACTGCGGGAGACTTAGCGTCGGTAGGTCTTAGAGGAGGGTAGCATTAGAGAAGCGGAGCGATAGACCTCTGAGTAAATGTTAGTGTTAATAAGTGCAACAAATATACGAAGTTAGATTTTCGCCTTCATCAGAAGTCGTGATTCGCGTCGTGATTTTCTCTAACTCGCCCACTACACTGCAAAACCAGAGACTTTTGCGGGTGCCCCGACAGTTTCGGCCACACACAAACAAAAGCTGCAACCTGCCAACATAGGGACAAGGTCAGATATTTGCACGTTAAAGTAAAACTCACAAGTTGACAAGTAGTCGAGGGGTTGTATTTTTGGTGTAAAGTTGCTCACTATGACATGAACTTAATCCCAAAGTGAGGACCCCCAACTCTCATCAGTTTTTTAGTAATTGAGGTTTACGTAACAAATCCAATCGTTTTCCTCAAAGTCTCCTCACGACTACCAAGAAACTTTTCAGCCTCCAGCTCCTGGCAAATTGATCCTAAATAACATATAAAAATGATAGCATAGGATTTTTACTCTCTCTCTGCAAGTTTTTTAAACTGCAGTAAAGCGTCAGTAAATCATTGCTTAAAATTAAGATTTTGGTCGAATGTAAAATTGAAACATGTTTAATCAATTATGGTAAAAACACAAATTGACACATTAAAAGATCCGTATGCTCTCTTTTTCATATGTCCTTTAAGATTGATCTGCGAAGAGCTGAAGGCTGGAAACTTGTTTGGTATTCGTGAGGAGAAATTGGGGTAAACGACTAAATTTGTTACGTAAACCTCAACAACTCTGAAACTATTGGGAGTTGGGAGTCGTACCTGTGGGTTTAATTTCATCTTACAGACAGCAACTTAAATGAAACTGCTGGCACAAATATTCTAATAAGTAAGATTTTCACTTTACAGTAACCATAATTTTTTTTTAACTTTGAAAGTTTTTGTGTTTCTTTATTTCTTTATAAACTATAAATGCTTCGTAACTTTGTCAGAAAGATATCCATGAAGTCCATAAATTTTTGTCAGGCTGTTCCTGCTTAATCTGTTGCGCAGAATCCCTCTGGCACAAACATTTAAATTTGCTATAAATGACCTGTTGTTGTCGAACTGCTTCATGGATGTGAGTGCCATTAAGGGTTTATTAGTTTACATTTGGGCCAGCTATGACTGCAAAGTAAAGAACTTCCAAAGTTTAAATTGGCTACAGGACAATGTTGAGTCAGCTGGTCAATGCTTGGACAGTCTACGGACTGAGTCCCGTGGATTTAGCAGGCCTGAATCACCTGATCTAAAGGGCGGGGTGCGTGAAGAACGAATCAAGGCATTTTCGGTCATTTCATTTATTGGCTCTTAATTGTTTTTTAGTTTTTGGAAATGTGGGCGTTGTGGCACTTTGAGGGCACAAGTAAGTCTCAACAAACGTAACGAGACGAAACAAAATACTTAAATGCACTACATATTTATCAACCGATCAGAACTTATCCTCCGCCAGTCGCAAGAGCCCGTCTGAATCATACCCAGAGCTTGCTGCCCTACAAGAGCCAATGTGTGCTGAGTACGCATCCATCGAAGTGTATTTGTTAGACAAGTACTCCATCTATAGATGTGTAATTGCTAGTACAGTCCAATACATGTCTACTTGGTAAGTTCCCTCCAAGAGAAGTGTACTTTGCTGTAGAACACTTCTTATGGAAGTGTACTAGGCACACATTGGATTTTTTAGTAGTGTGCAAGCGCGAAATGACGTCTTGACGGAGTGGGCGTGGCTGCCTAGAAGGCTTCCCTCGGCACGCCGTCGCAGCAGTCGCACTGCACTTTGCACCCGGCCGGCAACACGCGCCGTGCTGCCGCTAGCTGAGCGCGGCAGGTCGCAGAGTCGCACCCTATCCGCAGAAGCACCAGCCGCGACAGCTGTTTGAGGCCACAGGGGCGAAGGAACGCGTCCAAATCACTGCATCCTTTGGGCCATCCTGCTCTGGGAGACGCAGCTACCTCCAGCCATAACACCTTCAGCGATGCCGCGTACAAGCGAAGCAGGCCCTGCGTCGCAGCGCGGTCGAAGCCCTTGACACGCAACCACCTGGCGCTGCTGGACTGAGAAGGCGCGGGCAGCTTGGGGGGCACAGCAGGTCCTATGTCGAAATCAGCGGCGTTGGATATGTGCAGTCGCCGCAGGTGTGGCATGGCCTGCACCGAGGCTAAGTGCTCTGCACGAGGGATTAACAACTCCAGCTCCTGCACCGCAGGGGCTGCAGCGTTAAGGACTTCGAGGCTCCAAATTGGGTCACTGTCGCAGCGGACAGACAACCGCCGCACCTGCAGACAGAGCACGCACCTTTAATGTATATTCATGCGATTTCTGCACATTTCGAGTCTTGCTTAAATGTGTAAAGAAGAACTTTTGTCATGATGCGAAGGAAATGGCACATGCATATCACAAAGGTAGCATTACAAAGGTTTTTCTTTCAATCTAGGAACGAAAATACAAAGAAGATTCGTATTATGAAGAAGTATTGCTTCCTATTACGCTTGCGCCGAATACACTTTTGCACTTCACAGCTCAGATTTCATTAGAGCGAGTATGTTAAATTTGACCCTAAATTATTTTCATTCCGAGGTTTTAGTTGAGTTTAGTTTAGACATGCGTCTCACTGAGAGTGAATGGGTCACCACCATCACCCCTCAAATGGGTGATGGAACTTCGTCACCCAAAAACTTCGAGTGATGAAAAATTCACCACCCGAAAGTTGGTGACAGGCGTTGTCACCCAAATTTGGGTAACGTCGTCAGCCACGCCATGAGGTCCCCGATGACGTCCTCGTACTTGCAAGCATGCATTTGTAAGTGTGTACTTGAAAGACAGTTGGATTTGTAGTGCATCGGACACCTCACCCTCTCGGCGTGGCCGACGACGTTACCCAAATTTGGGCGATGATTTCATGACTGCCCAAAATTTAGTCACCGCTGGCTTGTCACCCGAATTTGAGCGACGATGCGTGCATCAATGAAAGGGCGATGATGGTGACTCTTTCATTCTCAGTGTCCTCGATGCATCAACATTGCGAAGCAAGGGGACAGGACACGAGAAACGACGAATTTACACTCACACTATGCTGTCGAAAGAAAAGCAGCGCCTCCGCCTTCTCATCCTCCAATTGATCGGGGCCAAAGAGGCCCAGGTGTTTCACATCAGGCTCCTCAAATCTGGACTCCTGAGAATGTGTATAGAGCACACACTCATCTGAAATGCAAAGACATGGCTGATATTATCACTGTACGGGCACAGTTGGTTGATGTAAGGTTCCGTGCACGGACAGTCACTGGTTTAACGTGGAAGTAATGCTTTCATCTGTTATGATAATACAGCAAGGTCCATTAGGGTCAGGGCGGGGAAGAACTGGACACCCCATATTTTATTTAAATTGACGTGTGCTTAGACATAAGAACCATCAAAAGTTTTTCAGAGGCATCAGCAGTTCATTACGTGATAGATGTTAAGCCTGTGCATACAGCATTTGGAGTAAAATATGGGGCCTTCAGTTCTTCCCCTGTCCAGTTCTTCCCCGCCCTGCCCCTATGATATGAGTTTCACTGGTTGATGATGACTTTTTTTCATTTTTACTAAACCTTAAGAATGTACAGGACATTTCGACGCGTCCTAATAGAATAATCCTAGCAGTTCCAAAACAATCTAACTGTTAGCGGTCTTTTCTCAAAGTCCACCCACTGTAAAAAATTCCGTACTTTTGTAAGGAAATGGTCCGGAAAAATATAGTACGGAGGTACGGAGAAAAGTACGGAACGTTCCGTACTTGCTCCATATAAACCCATGTAAATGGGTACGGAAAAAAAGTACGGAACGTTCCGTAGTTCGCAAGTACGGACGGTCCAGGCAAATTATTGACCAGACATGCTCCGTACTTTTTCCGTACTTTTTTCTCACAGTGCAAGCGCTTGTAGGGAGTGACCGGGGGGCGAGCACGTGTTAGGCCCATTGTAATAGCTAGCGATCAATCCGTCAATAAACCATGGTCTCTTGTCATCAATGCGTGATCAGTTAGAGTCAGTCGGTCCGTGAGTTCACTATCAAAACAGTGCGTGCGTTGCCCAATGAAAGGGTGATGGTGGTGACTCTTTCACACTGAGAAAACCTTACAAACTATTTTGGGCCTTACAAAGAAAAGTAGTTTGTATAACAAAGTATTTTGAGCATACGTAAGCTTACAAAGAAAAAACTTCGTAATTTACGAACTATTTCTTCGTATAACAAAGTATTTTAATTTGTTATATGTATGCTCAAAATACTTCGTCAGGTTTTAAGAATGCATTCTCAGTGCAAATAGCACATACCTGTCCTTTTGCGTTTGGCGGGCGCCTCGTCCAGCATGGGCTGCTGCACCGGGCACCGGCCTGAAGCGAGGACCATGACAAGCGCCTTGGTGAGGTCTTCTTGGGCGTCCTGGCCGCCGACGTGCCACTGGCAGGCAACCCTGTTGGTCTGGCTGGCGTCGGGGCACACATACAGCTTGCAGGTGGCGGGCCACACCTTGGAGGAGGCGTGCTGGACGTCGAGCAGCTGCAGCGCTTTCACCGCGGCGCTGTCCTTCATGCCCTGCACGCCGTCCTGGAGCTCCTCCAGGTGCTGGCTGCACCGCGCAACGAGGTCCTGCAGGCCACGCCGCAGCACCGCCTTGGGCCGCTTCACATTGTGCTGTCGTTCCAAGCATTGGGGCGAGGAGACGGACTGGCAGTCCAAGCACCACCACATCAGGGGCCTGCGAGCGGCAAGAACACAAATACACTGATAAAAAGTTTGTCGCAGCTTTACAACTTTTCTATTGCTAAATTGTTTTGGGACCAATAGATTGTTAAGCCATAGTGGTATTGCAACTAAAGAATAATTTCGCATTGACAAACTTCTCATGACATATAAACAGTTCACCCTCAGGTACAAGTCGATGACTGATTGAGTACTTTTGTCGCTAACTTTATTTTTCATGGCTCTCCAATAATAATAACCTCTAATAATGGCAATCTCACAACGATGATGATTCCAATATTATTCATCATTTATTTTAATTCAGTAGATAATGTCAAAAGATGTTGTATGCACACAAATTAAATCGTATATGGTGATTAGAAGAATTTTGTTCTTCAACGACAAATTGTCGCTTTCTAGACTCGATGGCATTTGCTTTGCTTTGGTTCATGATGATATTATATTTTAGAACAACTAAATTTTTACTTATCTGATTGCTTCTACACGTACAACAATTTTTTAACAGTGCAGGGTCGGTTGGGGTAATTTCGGGACATGGGGTAAAAATAGGACAGCTGTTTATTGAGCAAGATTTGACATTTCAGAACTCATGCCACACCTTATGTTATTTTCACACTACAACCATCGCATTGGACGTAGCATGCAACGTCACATTGAAATTCAATCTAAGTCAAATCCATAGCCAACAAACAATTAGATATAATATTTAAAGACAAATTCTCGATATTCAAAATTTTGGAAATGAATACTGTGACCAAGCCGCTTAAGATACCATAAAGATACCATAAAAGTAATGAGCTTCTTCCTGGCCACCAGATCCAAACCCGTGTAAACCTGATGGAATCAGCCGCCATTTATTCGACCTACTCATTCCACTGCACTGCCAACGCTATGTCTCACACTTGCACGTAACCCGTGGAACCATAGACAACAAAAGTGGGATAGAATATGACTTACGTTACCGTGAGACGCTGTGGTTCACGCCAAATAGGGAGAGACTGTCTTACACTTATATTGTCCGTGTGGAGCGAGAAAGACTCACTCAGACTTACTTTTTCAGCCCCGAGGTGGATTCCAGTACTGCTATCAGCGAATGATTATCTGCGACAGGATCCGCGAACGCCTGCATCAAGGACAAAGGAAGGCATCAGATTATTAGTGGCGGGGAGGGGAGGGGATCCCTGCAAGAGTGAGCTGAGAGCATTTCAGGTTGTATTAATTAATTTTACAGCCATTGCACTGAAACCTGAGGTGTGTACTGAGAGCACACACATAGGAGCACAAGAGGGTAGACGCAGTCATAACACATCCGACCATGACCGGAAGTAGCCCGATTTTAGCGAAGTGTGCTACATACTAATGTTTGAGTCCCAATCGAGGGGTCCTATTCAAAAGATCTTATCTGGGTGCTCCTATGCAAAGAATCTTATCAGCAACGCAAGCGAATTTCACCAAGTTTGAACCGCGGTCACGCTCTCATGGATGTGAATCTGCCATAAATTAGCTTTATTCACATTGAAATGAGCGTGACACTATGTTCAAGGAAGCGTCACATTTTGTCACGCTCGTTTCAACGTCATGCCACGCTCCTGCACTGCAAGAAAAAGTGTAAATAGTACAACAAAAGTACAACAAATCCAACAAAAGTACAACGAGAATTGTGCAAACCACAACGAGGCCTGAACTGCGCAGCACTCGTCATGCCGGTTCTACTGTACTTTGTACAACAAGTTTTATACTTTGAAGAAACAACAAATTCCTGATAAAAATTTGCCAGGGATTGGTGCACTTTTGTTGTGTTTTTTTCTTGCAATGTGGAATAAGTGAGTGCGTAGTTCGGAGTTGTTTTCCAGTTTTACCGTGGACCTACGTACCTCTCGGCAAGTCGGGCATCGCCTCTTCCGCAGGCCCTTGAGGCAGGTGGCGCACACACTGTGCGAGCAAGGCAGCACCTTGGGCCGAACCTCCTGTAAGTCCCACGCCTCACAGCATACGGGACACTCCATGGTGACGAAACGACGCGACGCAACACGACGCGACGTAAACAAACGAACTCTCTGGCCGGCTGGAAATGAGCTGACTGACGAACCGCCCGCCGCGCCGACGCCGACCGACTTCGTGACTCAAAGACTCAGGCAGCCTGGGTCAGGTTCAGGCAGACGCACGGGGGTGCGTTCGAGAACTCCACCCGGGGGCCCTCTGTCCCCCCCACGCCGTCCGAAAACTCTTCGGGGGCCCTCGGGGAGGTTCGGGTGGGGCGTCCGAAAACGTCCTCGGGTGGTCCTCCGAGGGCCCCCGATCCACCTTGCTCGACGAGGTGGGTGCGTCGGGGGACGCGAGTGGTTGGCGGGAGTTTTTGAAAGTAGGCCATTTTGCATAACCATCTTTCTAGTCTTAATTATCTCATCACAGTTTTAAAAGTCTGTAACGATAACGGCAAGAACTTTAGAACCTTTTGATCAGATTTTCCGGCTATGCAAGTGCCGAGAAGAGAAATTAAATTTCGTGTTCTGATATTCAATGGTTATGAAACTTTTCCTCTCAAATTTTGCATTAAATAGTGTGCTAAACATATGATTGAAGGTTTAAAAACTTCATCTTTTGACAAACGGCAGCAACAGTAAGTGCTACCATAACCTACATAGCAGACGGCATCAGGGTTCCCTCCACAGCCGTTCGGAAACTCGGGTGCCCCCTGCCTTCCTCCGCGTCACTCTACCCCCACTACCACCTTCCCCCCGGGTGGAGTTCTCGAACGCACCCCCGTGGAGGGCACGGTGTAGAGAGTCTCTCTACACCGTGGTGGAGGGAGACGCACCACGACGCAGTGCAGGGAGGGGGAAGGGGGAGGGGGGAAGTAAGGGCAGGGGAGCCTCAGGACCGCGTCACTCCGTCTCTCTCGCACACCCAGGACTTCCAGTGCAGGTGCGAGAGAGACAAACGACTCTCGGAATCATTGTGCAGGGTTGCCAGATGGCGAGCGAGCAGGTCGCTGCCTGCAGGCTGATTCCGAGAAGGGAGTGTCTCTCTCGCACTCAAGGGCGTCCCGCACGGGTGCGAGAGAGACAGACGGACGGGACCTCCCCGCTCGGCATCGGCCTGCAGAGCGCGCGGAAGACCCCTCAGCAGCCTTTCTTGCTTACTCAGCCGAGTTCGCCGAATTCCGTTATCCCTGCCGCACTGGCCTGCGTACCAGCGGCCGCCTCCTTCCCCCTCCCCTCAGGCATCCGATTCCGGAGCACGCAGTGTCGGAATGTTCGTTCCCCTCGCACTGGAGGGAGAAGTACTCGTGCGTAGCTGTGGCCACGCGATTTTGGTTGTCAAGCCGCGCTGCCTAAGCCTGGACAAAGTGTCCAGGTGCCTAAGTATGGCAGGCATCAAACGTTGTGCTATAAAACTTTGCAAAAACACATCTGAAGATGGATTTTCGATGATTACGGTAACAGAAAGGAGGAGAACGAAGCTTAATTGGCTAACATTGTGTGATCTACCAGAGTCAACCCCTAAACATTCTTACATCTGTGAGGTGAGGTTATGGTTTTCTGTTGTCGCTCTCGTGTTGTTTTGATTTTGCTTAGTTGTCGTGTTAAGACTAAATTTTACATTTCCTAATATGTTTTAGGGTCATTTTACGAAAGATCAAACGGAGATTATTGATATTTACGATGGAACGAGGCTGAAGTCCAACGCTGTTCCCACAATTTTGTCGCCTAACCCACCTAAGTTATTTGTTAAACAAACTGTTGGGACTTATATTGTCGAAGGTGTAGACGAGAAAGGCAACCACATATTGAAGCTGGATCCGGATGAGCCTTTTCGGCAGGTTAAGTTACTTAAAAGCAGCCCTGTTAAAGATGGTAAGTTGTGTACTTGTTACGTTGCGGATTTGCTGAGTTTTTGTGTGTTGGGGATGTTCACTTTTAATTACATTGTTAACGTTTCTTTCAGCTTCAACTCCTGAGCCAGTGGTTCCATCAACAGCTAGTGAACATACTCCTGCTACTGAGACCCCTTCAATCAATGCACAAGAGACCTTACACTCTCAGACTTGCATTGACTTTTCATGTCTTGCTATAAAGGTTTTTGTGCAAACATAATATGTACTATTTGCTTTTTAGCTATGCACTATTTTGTTCATTGTATAATGTACTTAGTCCATTAAACCGGACTTTTTGTCATCTGCGATGTACGTTTCAATTTCTTCTACATGATCTATTGATAATTTTATCTTTATTACGATCAAAATTGTGCATAGTTAAGAAGAAAATGGTACATTTTACATTTGCTCAAAAAACGCAATAAGCAAGAGAGAAAAAAGTCCACATAGGTCTGAGAGCGGCAGACTCCAACACTACACGCCGCCACTCATGCAAGGAGGGGAGGGTGAGGCTGCTAGGCGACGACGCTGCCAGAAATACCAATTAATTGGCACACTGGTACCATGAGAAAAAAAAATTATCATTAAAAATGTATTTTGGCCAGTACAAATCGAAATTTATTCTCGGAGGAGGCTTTGTGTTTTGAAGTGTTTCCAGGATTTATCCAGTTGCCTTCTGGACACCTTAGAGCCCAAGCCCAACATGAAAATATGAAGCCCTGTTAAAAAATAGCAAATGAATTGCCACAGTACGTCACTTGCTGTTTTGTCTAACATTTTAAAATATGAATTTTTTTTAAATCTTGTCGTTTTTTAAATACCCCTCTCATGCCACTTGCTGGGTTGTGATTTGAGTGTAAAAATTAGTTAATGTAGCAAACTCGTTTAACAGCTCCGCAAAATTTGATATCAATTCAGCAAGCGGTCTACGCAGTCAAACTAAGAGATAAGAGTTGCCAAATTTTGACGTCTATCATCTGAGCTCAGAGTAAATGAAAATGTGTTCACCTAGCTGCTAAGTTCACGAATTCTCTTATACTTCCGTAAACTAAGAAGCTGGTATCTAAATTACGTAATAAAAATTGATTTAGAAATTAGTGACCTTTTAATATTTCTTCTTGGAGAACATAATAATTTGCGTTGAATCAATATCAGAAGTTATGGAGGATCAATAAGAGAAATAATTAAAAGGAACTCAGCTGTAGACCAATCTTTATTGTGAATGACAAAGCAAAGGCAGTACGGCTTGTTGAGGCACTAGAAACACCCATGCCTTTGCAAGGAACAAATCTAGTTCGCACCAACTTAAGACAGTACCTCCCGATATAAGATGGAAAAGCAGTCAAGATTGTTCTTAAAGTTCAAAACAATAGCATGATTTACAGTTTGATTCAGAACAGAAGAGTTAAAAAAGAGACTTCTAAAAAGTAATCAAAAGTTACAAAATACGAAAGAAGAAGAACAGACAGATACAAAGGACATCTTGGAAAAGATCTCAAAACACTGGGGATCCGCGGTCGTCCTGAACTCCGACACACCGCACTAAAACACCACCACGACTGCCTGCTAGTGACCAGGCCAGCATCATTCATCGTCATCACTGAGTCCCGGCGCATTCAGAAGGTCATCCATCATGGGGTCCACGTAGCGGGTGGCCAGGCGTTCCAGGAGTTGCATGACGGTCTCGCCAGGTCGGAGCTGCCTGAAGGTCTCGAAATCTTCCTCCTCCTCCTCCACGTCCTCGTCTTCCTCTTCCTCGCCGCCGGACGGTGCGGGGTCGTCGTCGGCGTCCTCGCAGTCCGACGCCTCGGCGCAGACCCCCTTCCTGCAGCGGGTCTCCGGCGGGCCGAGGGGGAAGCCGAGGACGAAGCCTCCGTCACCGCCGTCCAGGCAAGCCTTGCGCGGCACCCCGACCACGGCCAGGTCGGGGCGGTTGGCCTTCAGGGCAGCGAACGCCTCTTTGCCCTTCGGGGTCACCTGCAGCGAGACGAGGACAAGACGCGTCACACTCATGGCTCTCAAAGAGCCGGAAGACCGGTGGAAACGGCTAAAATTCTAAACGCGTTTCGAGCTCTAGAGTCGCTAACCAGGACTCGAACCGAGCTTGTGACCCCACCAACGGATTGCTCTTCGCACGAGGAATCCATTGGCGGGGTCACACGCTCGGTTCGAGTCCCGTTTAGCGACTCTGGAGCTCAACACGCGTCTAGGATTTTGGCCGCCTCCACCGGACTTCTAGCCCGTGCGGAGGCGGCCAAAACCCTTTTGAGCTCCAGGGTCGTGAAATGGGACTCAACTATGGATTCCTAGTTCCAAGAGCGATCCATTGATGGGGTCACACGTTCGGTTCGAGTCCCATTAAGCGCCTCTGGAGCTCAAGACGCGTCCTTCAAGATAAAATTCAGTATTCTCCTTCACTTAAAGAGTTCACTCCAAATCCACAAGTGATACCTTTAAATCTTCTTTGGCAATACGTATATACTATTGAGTATCGGCAACAATCCGCCTCGCCGGAAAGTCTTGCCCAAAAATCGGCGAAGGCGATACTTTGCAATGTTGCCAAGATTTGGCTGTGAACTAGGACAGGTCAAGGGGGGTATTCTATTGTTTGTTGCCAAATTTTGGCCAGGAGTAACTCCATTCAAATTTGTACACCAAAGTTCATTGAAATTCATCAAAATTTGTTAAAATTCATTGAAATTTTTCTCAAAATTTATTAGTTTTAGACTGAAATTCAGTAAAATTCAACTGAAATTCATTGGATTTGAATACTGAAATTCACAGTGATTTCCCCTTAAGTTTGGCGATTGTACTCCAAAGCATCGCACTTTGGATTGGCAAATGTTTTTAAGTTTTGAAGAACACTGCCGGTTGGGTCTACTTACTCCGCAATACTTGAGTTCCAGCCTCTTCAGTTCGGGCAGGGCGCCCCGCTCCAGGCCTCGGAACACACTGCAGGGGACGCGGGCAGCCTCCAGGATCAGGGTCTCCAGCTCCGTCAGCGGCGCCAGGATGGCGTGCAGGTCTCGAGCCACGTCAACCTGGCAGGGGCAGAGACGCTGAGTGAGTCGTATCACCTAGAGCGCGGAAGAAGCGGATAACACTAATTTGACAATGTTTTCAGGCAATTTAAGTTTATTTCTAAATTCTGAAAATTCAGACCACTATTGTCAGACCTCGTGGTCTGAATCTATACTTCAGCGTTGTTTTGGACTACGTGTCTGAAAATTAAGCCTGTCGGTGTGAAAATTGCCACCTGACCGCCTTAGATCTTGCATTCGGACCCGAGCAGTCTGAGAATTTAGACGATTTAGACTAAGAATTGAGACCAACCTAAGATCACGTTGACTGAATCTCAAGACTTTTTAAATTGAACAGTGGCGGCAAACGATAACTTGATACGAGGAAAAACGGAAACGAACCAAGTGAACATGTTAAAGATGAAAAGCTTTAGCCCGGATAGTGAGACCCGACTTTGACGCGAGCACTGTGAAAATTTGAGTCGTCACTTGATGACAATAACAAGGCTAATTTTCCTTACAAGGATGTCATCAAGACAATGGATGACATTGTTGCCACGCCCATTCTATACGTCTTGGAGCTTTTGATCTCATCAATTTGTGATGAGATTGTCGTCATTTGAAAGTGATATGAAAATATCATCAACGTTTCTGAGATTAAGTGACAGCAAATTTTCAGTATACCCCCCTCGCTTTCAGGATTGGTAGCCGCAGCTCAGTGGGCCAGAAACCTGCGGAGGCGGCCAAAATTCTAGACGCGTTTTGAGCTCCAGAGTCGCTAAATGGGACTCGAACCGAACGTGTGACCCCACCAATGGATTGCTCTCCGGACGAGGAATCCATTGGTGGGGTCACACGTTCGGTTCGAGTCCTGTTTAGCGACTCTGGAGCTCAAAACGCGTCTAGAATTTTGGCCGCCTCCGCCGGCTTCTGGCCCACTGTGCGCAGCACGAAAGGAGACCTCACCTGGTAGTCGTGCTGGTAGGTGCCGTCGCTCATGGCCTGGTAGCGCAGGCACAGTGTGCGCAGGGCGGGGCAGCCCGCCGCCACCTCCTGGACGAGGCCGCGGTGGCCCAGGTGGCCCAGGCACAGCGTCAGGCGCTCCAGCTTCTGGCGGTTGCGCCGACCGGCCGCAGACTGCAGGGCCCTCTTGACGGCCGCGTGGTCCACGAGCCCGAACTCGTACAGGCACAGTTTCTTCATGTTGGGGAAGCCGCTCAGCAGGGATGGCTGCGGCAGGAAAAGAAAAACTACATTGCAGTGACGCACTACGGCAGAAACGCACCGGGGGGAAAATCACTCCTAAAACCTGCGAACCGACTATTACGCCTAAAACGCTCTAATACGCCTCAAAATATAGCGATTTAACTGAAAACAGACCAAACAAAACCCTAAAATAGATCAAGTTTAGAGAATTTCAGCTATTACGCACACTATTACTCGTGCTATTACGGACAGAGTGATCCGACTATTACGCGAGTGCTTTCCCCCTCGAAACGCACAGAAGGCCTGAAGACCGGCCGAGGCGGTCAAAATCATGCTTCCTACCAGATATATAGTGAAGATGCTCCATAATGAGTTGAAAATTCTCTTCATTATGGTGGTGCAGCTGACTTAAACACATACCATTGAGAATTCACTGCACCTCATAAACATGTTCACGAGTTTTGATGGTATAATGGAAAAAAGCTTCACTACTATATGAAAGTGCTGCCTTTCACCCTGGGACATCCAGAGTGCGGACGCGTTTTTACCTGCAGAGTCGCTACGCTACGCAACGCAAAGGGAACTCGAAGCCAACGTGTGACCCTACCAATGGATTGCAGTCCGAACGAGGAATCCATTGGTGGGGGTCTCACTCTCGGTTCGAGTCCCTTTTAACGACTCAAAACACGTCTTGAATTCAGACAAACATAAAGCGATGACTTCAAATTTCAGTGCTTTCGGAAATGTCAAGTTTTTCTTGGAATCTCACGATGAAAATAAAAAAATAAGAGATTCGCAGAGAAATTTTGCTATGGATGTTTGCGCCGAACTCACAGCAAAAAGGTCGAGTTTCATTTTTGAGACATTTAGAGTGTAGGTACCTTGTAGGTTGGCATGCTGGCCGAGCGCAGGGCGGAGCAGCGCAGCAGCTCGGTGGCCACCTCAGGGGAGCAAGCCACGTGGTTCTTGTACAGGCGGAAGCTGTCGATGTGGAACGACTGGAGCGTAGCCTTGGCGGCTCGCACCAGGCGGCATGCCACCTCGCCGCTGGCCTGTGGAAAGAAAGGTGATGAGTAAACAAACAATACCACAAGGAACCTTACCAGCAAACAATAAATCTGATGACAAGCGAGCCGAAAAAGAGGGATATCATGACTCATCTTATGCCCAAGAACTGTCTAAATAACATCAAACAATCTTGACTCGTCTCATGGAGTTAAAAAGAAAATCCACTAGGAAAAAGGATATTTATCAATATGAAGTCCCCCCACACTACAAATCTACGTGTGGAAAAGGCGTGCACTAGAATCGTGGGACATGGATTTGTCCCAAACTTTATATTGTACAAGCCAGTAAGTGTAGGCCAGATGATCCATGAAGCGTAAGAAAAGGGTAACTCAATTTTTATCATTTTTCAGGAAGAACACTACACTGTTCGCAGAGAAAACTAAAACCAATACAATAAATTACGACATGGATGATGGTTGTAATATGTAATAAGTGTGAGAATTTTCAAAAGGGTGAGATCACATTGTAGACGGTTTCTGAAATATAAATCTTTGTGTTAGAATGAACTACGGGACTAGTTTTGCTTTGTTATCCCCAACGAAGTGGGATTTGGAGAAAATTCCATTGGAGCTGAGGTCTGTGTAGAACCTTTAATGCTCTGATTACTTTGAACTAGTGTTCTAAAAGAAAGGCGGAGTGAAAGATTCATAGAGATACAAGTTGAGTTATTTCTTACAGCCTTTTTAAGCAAAGGGGTCACAAGAACTTTGCTTGAATTATCTAAATTTTCTGATGAATTTTACACCGAAAGAAGTGTCAAGTTGAGTTATGTCTATTTTCCGGGAGGATTTTCTCCTAAACTGCTAGGAGTTAAGTCAAAAAATAGTGTAAGGATGAAAACCATCCTTAGGCACAATAATGAAATAAAAGATTCAGCTTCCTGAACCAACTTGTCACACATTATTTAGAGCATGCCTGTTCCACACTTGGACTTGCAGTGCACTCCAAATCCAACTTCGTTGGGGATAACTGAGCAGAACTAGTTCCGTAGTTCATTCTAAAGCAAAGATTTAAATCACAGAAACCGTCTACAATGCGACCTCAACCTTTCGAAAATTTTCACAGTGCAAGAACTCACCTCCCTCCAGAACGAGAGCCTCTTCACCACCTTGGAGCTGCCCGGGTACGTCTTGGCCAGGCTGCCGTTCACGTACAACTCCTTGACGCCCAGGGCGTCGATGGCGTCCAGGACCTTCAAATCCCACAGTGTGCCCAGCCGCACCACCTGCAAGCAAGACAAAGGAAACCCATTTGCAATTTTGAACGTGCACTGTTATAGAAGAGAAACACGCTCAGATGAGTGAGAATTCACTTGTACCCAAACACGTCATCATCTATGACCAAAAGCAAAACAAATGTTGTTGAAACCAACAGTTTGTCGTAGAAGAACAAAATTATTTGTATTGACATGAATGATACAGTTGGTGCACAAACAACATCTTTTGACATAAATACGTTAATGATGAGTAATACTGAAATCATTATCTTCTTTGTTCTTTGAAATCATAGGGAGATTATAATTAAAAAACCATGAAAACTTAAGTTAGCGACAAAACTACTCAATCAATACAATGAAAACTTAGCGTCAAAACCACTCAATCAATATCTGTTACAGATATCGCAAAAACTTTTCTAACTTCCAATACTTGTTGCTGACTAGACTAACGACATTTGTTGTTGGTCAACGGCTTGTTATTTAAGGTGCGCTGTCCACATGTGATTTTTCGGCAAGGGCGTTAGTTGGCGATACTCATTTGCACCGCCCCAATAAAATACTGAAGTATCGCCTTTCGATTCGCAGTGTTGGAACTTCCAGTGCACTGAAATTCGAAGGGTGAGCCATCTGACCGATTTTCGGTGATACAACTCTGCAAACTGTACAGAGTGCTCAGTACACTCTATTTGGAGTGTACTCATAAGCACACTCCTGTGAGAGTGTGCTCAGCTGAGTACACTCTAACGAAAGTGTGCTTAGCTGAGTACACTCTAACGAAAGTGTGCTTACCTGAGTACACTCTAACGAGAGTGTGCTTAAGTCGGCACAATTCATGCAGCTGAGTACACGTTCGTGGGAGTGTACTTGTGAGTACACGCTGAAGAGAGTGTACTCATGAGTACACGCTAAAGATAGTGTACTCATGAGTACACTCTAAAGAGAGTGTACTGAGTACACTGTTGAGTTTGCAGAGAAAAAGTATGACCGAAAAACGGTCTTACACCAATGTATGACCGAAAAAAGGGTCATACTTAAATGAATGACCAAAAAAAGGTCAGACATCAGCGAGTCTGGCTATTGCTTAGCTTGGGGATACATCAGCCTTTACCTGTGATACACTATAAAGTATGACCGTTTTTCGGTCATACATCGAAGTATGACCTTTTTTCGGTCTTACTTTTTAGTATGACCCTTTCTCGGTCGTACATTTCAGTAAGAGCGTCATAGAGGTCAAAAGTCAGGCCTTCCTATTTACACTGCAATGCCAGTGGTAAGTTTACTTGCCACAAATTTGGCAAGCCGTTTTGGATGCCAAAATTTGGCAAGCTATGGTCGGAAATGTTCACAAGCTTGCCCAATTTTGGCAAGCTTGGGGGTATTTCCAGGCTAACCGTGGGGAAAATTTCCAGGCCAAGCTTGAGTGGCACTGATGCCACCTGTGCAGCCATGCTGGAATTATTGACATAATTATTTTTGGCATTCAAAACGGCTTGTCAAATTTGTGGCAAGTAAACTTACCACCAGCAGTGTACAGCGTGCGCTCACCTGCAAGTTGCCCTTGTAGTGCTGCAGGACTCGCATCACCTCCCGCTGGTCGATCTCGTTGCCGTCGTAGGTGTAGCCGTCCTCCTCGTGGTCCAGCTCGAAGACGCGCACGCGGGGGGTGCCGGCGCGCAGCAGCCTCAGGGCGTCGGCCGTGCCGCACGGCGAGACGGAGCGCAGGGCGGGCGCCACCCGGATCACGGCCTGCCCGTCGTCCTCCGCCCAGTCCACGTGCCGCCACACGCGCGGGCAGCGCGCCAGGACCCGCAGCCCGCGGCACACCAGCCCCAGACGCACCAGGTCCTTGCCGCGCAGTTGCCGGCACACTAGAAGGAGTACGTGGCCCGGCAGCGTCAGCAGCACGTGACCGTCCTGCGAACACAAGCACACTGTGAAGAAAATCCGTACTTTTGAACGGAATGGTACAGAAAAATATATTACGGAGGTACGGAGGAAAGTAAGGAACTTTCTGTACTTGCTCCGACTTGCTCCATATGAACCCACGTAAATGGGTACGGAAAAGAAGTACCGAACGTTCCGTAGTTTGCAAGTACGGACGGTCCAGGCAAATTATTGACCAGGCATGTTCCGTACCTTTTCCATACTTTTTTCTCACAGTGCAACCGGAGATGCCCACACCGTACGTCGACGAATGTGACGCACGGTGGGCCAGAAGACCGGTGGAGGCGGTCAAAATCCCGGATGCGTTTTGAGCTCCAGAGTCGCTGAATGAGACTCGAAACGATCGAGTGACCCCACCAATGGATTGCTCGCCAAACGAGGAATCGATTGGAATGGTCACACGTTTGATTCGACTCCTCGAGGCCATCAACTTATTAGAAGTCTCCCTTGATTCGACTCCTGTTACGCGACTCTGAAGCTAAAACAGCGTCGAGATTTCGACCGCCTCCACCGGTCCTCTGGCCCACTGTGAAAAGGTGGCCGATCACCGTACCTGAGTCAGGTCCGTAGGGATCCCATCCTCAGCGCCACCGTCACCGCTGCATCCAGCCACCACGGACTCGTCACCAGAACTGGAAGAACCGTCTTCGGAAGAATAGTAACTCTCCCAACCATCGTCGTCTCCTTCCTCCCAGACGTGATTGTCCTCGGGCGCTGCCATGCTGAAGCTCGCCTCAGAAATACAGAACCTGCAAAAAGTGGAAAGGAATCAGGCGTACCTCCAAAACTTAGAGAAAAAGCACAGTGAGCCAGAAGACCGGTGGAAGCGGTCTCTGAAATCCAAAAAGTGAGACATCTGACCAGTTTTCGGCGATACAAAAGGTACTAAGACCGAAAGACGGCTGTACACAAGTGTATGGCCGGAAAAGGATCATTCGTACATTCCAGTGGAATGACCCTTTAAAAACTCAAAAGTCTGCCCTTCCTTTTGCAGTGGTCAAAATCTCCGACCCTGTTTGAGCTTCAGAGTCGCTAAATGGGATACGAACCAAACGTGTGCGCCCACCAATGGATTTCTCTCCGAACGACGAATCCATTGGTGGGGTCACACGTTCGGTTGGGGTGCTGTTTCGCGACTCGGGAGCCCAAAACGCGTCTAGAATTTTGACCACCTCCACCAGTCTTCTACCACACTGAAGATGAAGATGTAATCCAAATTTGGTCTTGAAAAGTATCGGTTAGAGAAATATAAAAAAGTTGCGGCGATCATGTGAACTAGCTTTGTCCATCGACACAGTTGCCGTAGTAAACGGATGTGACGTCCTGTTCGTGATACTTGTTCCAACGAATTTGACACTGAATTGAATTGAATTTGAAACGAGCGTGACCTCTCGGGAGAGAAGGGAGGACAATAGGGTGCTTCAAACTTACTTGACGGATGCCTCGCTGCGGTGTTGGTCACAACTCCAATCAAGGCTGCTAGGGCTGCTAGCGTCCGGGACGAACAGCGAGCTGCACAAAACATAACAGACCTTAGACCTCATGTGACGCGCACTGCAAAAAAACAATCTCGAAAAATAACGAGAAAAGTTTGGGTAACTTTCTTTTACGAACTATTTGTAATTCCAAAAATGTCGTTTACTACATTTTTCGTAACGTTTTTAGCTTATCATTAAAATTTTCAGCTTTATCAAACGTGCTGCAAAAATAAAGGCTTCCAGAATTTTTTTTTCTCATGGCAACAATGGTTTCAGTTCAAAAAGTTTACAAAGTGTTTTTAAACGAAAACGTCGCAAGAAAAAATTATCAAAACTTTTTTCGTTGTTTTTTGACAATCTATTTTCATGCCTCACTAATAAGCCATTTCGTATGTCTGTAAATCCGCCAATTTAATAAGATTTCCTTCTTCGCGAAGTAATTTTGTGGGAGTCCGATGCGTTTTGTAATGGTTTTGTAGGATTACGATACATTTTGAAAATTGACACAACAATAACCTTTTTTATGACACAAATCGTGTATTCGTGTATATCGAAAATTCACGAAAAAATTGTACAGTGCGGCGGCGACAACTCGAGGCACCCACTGTAAAACCAAACGTGGACAACTCCACACTTGGAATGGAAGTGCGCCGAGTTTGCAGTCTCCACATTTCAAGTGTGGAGTGGCTCACAATGGAGTGGCATTTCTTAGCATGGTGCAAACTCCACGTTGTAAGTGTGGAGACTGCAAAATCAGCACTAGTAAGTGTGGGGACTGAAAATTCCAGTCCTCCGCGTTTCAAATGTTGAGTTCTCCACGTTACGTTTCACAGTGCCCGTACACGCCTGGGGGAATCTCCCGCAGGGCAGCGCAGGGCAGGGGCACGCCAGTTGGACTGAATTCGGCCGGCGACGAACCCTAGTTCCGGGAAACCCTTTTTCCGAATAGGAGAGTTTTGCGGTGGGCAACCGAACGCGCCCGCATACGGAGCAAGATATAGCTCCTGGAGCGCCCAGGTCACGTTACGCAAGACGTTAAATCCCAGAGCACGTTCCAAGTTACGCAGAAAAGCTACAGAATTATTGCGTTACGTTACGCTGTGCGAGGAGGGGTGTCTGGGCAAACGCAACGGTGCTTCGAAAAGTGTCCAAGTGCTGCACGGAACTAAGGGACGTGCTTATTGTGTACGGGTATACTGTATCCCATCTACACAGAATGTTTTACCGAATCCTTGAACTGAAATGCGGAGTGAATTTGGGGAAAGGTGGATCCAGATCGCTCGTCCGCACTAGGTTACCAGAATCTCGGAATCCATGCGACCGCGGACGGGGTTTCAGACTTCTGACTGACCCACAAAGTCCGTGGTAAAGTCCACGACAGGAAGAGAGGAACAGTGCTCTTCTGCCGCGGTCTCTGACCTAACACGCACGCATTAAAATTCTTCGTAGCATCGCTTCCTGATACGCCGAAAACGAAGGACTTGTTAATTGTACGAAGAATCGCTTCGTGTTACGAGTCACATTTCGTCAGAAAAGAGGAATCAATTCTCTATTGCCTTCATTAACTTTGTAGTTACCAAACAAAAGTTTTACAGACTCGTTTGAGTGCACTACAATGACAACCCCCTGAATTCGGTCAGACCCTAAGGGAGGTGCGATGTGCGGTGATGTTACGATTGGAGCCACACTGTTACGCCACGCCGAGCGCGGCCTGAAATCCGATCAGTACTGATACGCGGGAAAAATTGCGAAGAATCGCTTTGTAATACGTACGACGAAAACGATGGCAGTGTAAAACCTACGAAGGAATGCTTCGAGTTACGAAGCAAAACCCTTCGTGATACGAAGCATTTCTTCGTCATACGAAGCAATTCTACAATGCCTTCATTTTCTAGCAAGTCATGAAGTTAATACCTACGTAATCAATCACTAGGACAAGAGAGACGCGTGACTCTCCATGAAAACGAACCTTTGACCAGACCGTCTAAATCAACCAGAGGTTACATAGTACACAGCTGCGCAAGTTTAGCCTCGAATGTGCGAAGTTTCGTCCTCACCCTCGGGCTTCGAGTGCGAGCGAGAACGATCGGCTGCCGCGTTGTCGGGTGCGTGCATCCACGGAGGACAATTTCTGAGCCTGGCAACGTTTAGAGCGTCGGGACGAGGAAGGGTCGGAACACACTAAATTCTTATGGACTTTTTTATGCATAGTTATGCATGCTCAGAAACGTCCATATGTTATGTATAATATTATGCATCACTGTGTACATTTTATGCAGGAAGACGCATAAAATGTACACAGTGATGCATAATTTTTTACATACTTTATGGACGTTTCTGCGCATGCATAACTATGCATAAAAAATGCGTCCTTATGCATTTATAAAGTCCATAAGAATTTAGTGTGAAGTACCGGAAGCCGCCTCTACGCTTTCAGGAAGGTTTGAACTCCTCCCGACTTCTGACGCACAGTGGGCCAGAAGACCGGTGGGGGCGTTCAAAATCCCGGACGCGTTTTGAGCCCCAGAGCCGCTAAATGGGAAACGAAAACGAATCAAACGTGTGTGCCCATCAATGGATTGCTCCGCGAACGAGGAATCCAAGGGTGGGGTCACACTTTCTGTTCGAGTCCGGGTTAGCGACTTCGGAGCTCTAAGCGCGTCAAGAGGTTAGGCCTTTTCCGATGGTAACCTAACATTTGCAGTTCGGCTGGAATGCTAGGACATAATTTCGATTAAACTTAAACGGGTCTGAAGAAAACCATTGACGGAGGCTGTCTGGCTTAGCGTACACACTCGTCAGGGCGTTACGAAATCGCGTGCCAAACCCGCTCTGCAGAGCAGCCCGGCCTCCAAAGCAGTTGTGTTAGGTCTCTAAGTGTGAAGTGCAGGGTGGGTTAAAGCGGCTCTTGCTCACTGGACAGCCTACCTCAGAATTCTCGTCGCTGCTGACCGCGACTAAGCACCGACGCTGAGGCGGCTAGTTTCGCTTACGTGCAACAACGGGACGAGGTGCTCCAGCGGGAGACACAGGGACACCTGACGTCGCCAACTCCAACGGCAACGACTGCTTCGCTCCCGCTCGGCTCGGCTGCCTGCCTGCCTGCCCTGCCGCTTGACTGCCCCCCCCCCCCCCTTCATTTTACATCGGATCAGCGCGGCCAAGCTCCCACGCCTGAGGGGGAGGGAGCCGAGCGCGCCCGGCAGCGTTCGGGTACGTTCGGGTCGGGTCGGGGCGCTCGGGACCCGAATGAAATGCGAATCCGGTCCGGGCTTCCGCTTCCGGACCTCAGACGCTGAGGCTCTCCAGGCGGGACGGGTGCTCGAACCTGCCGTCTGGCGTCGCGCGCGCCACTTCTTGAGCCGTTGGAAAACCCTCTCTCGTTCCAAAACGCGCATCAGACGCGCCCCGGGCCGGCAGTGACATAACGGTACGCCAATGCACGAGCCATATACATTGTTAAATAGGCTGCCTTACTTTGCTTCGCACGGAAATTTTCCCGCATTAGAATCACTATACTCTCAGCCGTTTACCGACTATTTCTCATTAGCAGACGTATTTCTGTAAGCAACCATAATACTTAGTATTTAGTCCTTAAATACTTAAAAATTTCTTTGTAATTTACTAAGAAAACGGTAATATCAGTACAGTAATTAGCAATTGCTAAGTAATACTGACAAAAAATACTAAGTATTATGGTTGCTTACAGAAATGCGTAAGCTGATGAGAAAAAGTCAGTAAAAGGCTGAGAGTGTATAATTGTGAGAGCAAGGACAAACATTTAAGGGTGTTAACCTGAGAAATTTTGCGTAACGTCACACTGTGAGAGGGTGGGGGTTTGTCTCAGCGTAGCGCCGCGTTAAAGGGGGGAGCAAAACACGGTTCAAAAATGCGTAATGTGATTAGTGGACTGCCCCTAACTTAGTGCTGTAGTGTGTTGAGTTTTGAAGTACGGTTGACCCGAGTTCCTCCAACGGTTTTCATCTCTACCCAAAAGTGTGTGCTACGAACGAATTCTGGATTACGAAACTTACTTCTGTTTAACAAAACAGTGGAATTGTGTTATAGAATCATTCTCAAGTATTTCGAGCTGTGTGTTTTGTTTTTCAAAACTTTTCGTGTGTTTTGTTTTTCAAAACTTTTCAATGAATTATAAATGAAATTACGACTTAACTGGTCGTAACATTTTCAAGGTGGTTTTAGACAGGTATTTGAACTGTAAAAGGCCCTAGGATTTTAAGTGTTATGAAGAAAAGTTTTTGTCTTCAAACCCCGACAGCTTTGGTATTATTCGAGAATAGTTTTGTCATTCAAATGAACCGTATTTTCTGTTAGTTCGAGAGAAAGTTGCTAGTTCTCACTAGGATCCTTTGGGAAAAATTTAGACCGGAAGTACGCAGTGATGTTACTAGAAGTTGCTCGAAAACGTTGCACAGCCGCGTTACCACAGGCTTATGCATCAGACATTACTGAAATTATTTACGTCACGTCATAAATCATTGGAAGTAATAACCACACTCTCATTCCAGGAACGTGACATCACGTTAAAACGAACGAGACAAAATGTCACGTTCGTTTGAGCATTGTGTCACATTCGTTTGGGTGCGAATTGGCCAAAAATCAGCTTGTTCACATTTTGTCACGTTCGTTTCAACGTGATGTCACGTTCCTGGAATGAGAGTGCACTCATTGCACGTCATGAATACGCAGGCTTTGTTGGGGAAAGTCTAGACCAGAAGTTAGGAGCAGTTCCCGCCGGCTGTCTTTGATTCCTCTTTTTGGCGAGCCGTCTGAACTTTTCTGGTTGTATTCCCTAGTCAGAGACTAGAAATAGCAAGAGAGCTATTTCCACGACAAACCTGAAAGTAAGGAGGTTTTTCGTCGTTTCTCATCATTCTAAATTGATGGCTGGATGTTCATTTTGTGGGCAATTTTCCTTCAGAAAAATACGTCTGTCTTATGATTGCGTCAGCTGGATCCGGTCTACAGAGTTGCAGATTTGAACTTCGGATCTTTGCTTTAATGTGTTTCCAGGTGGTTGAGGATCTGACGTACTACCTCTTCTGATCCCGGAACTACCATCATGGAGAGAGGTACGTTTCTGTGAACCTCTTGGACTCATGGTAAAAACGGTTCCTGGCTTTCCCTGAAAATCACCTACGTCTTTCCCACAGGCTTCCTGGCAAAACCAGGAACCGTCTTTACCGTAGCTTTTCTAAAGTGTTTGTTCGCAGCATTTGTTTTTTGATGCATTTGCTAAAGTGCCTTTAAACCGAAGGGACGTACGTTTGAAACCTTGCGAAGTATTTACAGTATAGTACAAACTAATGCAATTTGTTGTACGGAGAAAAAGTTCACTGAGAAAACCTTACAAACTATGTTGGGCCTTACAACGAAAAGTAGTTCGTTATACCAAAGTATTTTGAGCATACATAAGGTTTCAAAGAAAATACTTCGTAATTTACGAACTATTTCTTCGTATAAAAAAACGCTAACGTGAAAGCAGATGATACTGACGAGAATGTTAATTTTAGTGTATTGCAATTCATGATTAACACGTGGTTTAATGCACGAAAATGTTAATTTTGATTTAACTATTAAATGATCCAGGAAGCGGAAGAAGGGAATAACTTGACTTATCCCCAAATTGAGTTTTTATTTTATTACTGTGCCTTAGAATGGTTTACATCATTACACCAAATTATTTGACTGAATTCCAAGCAGTTAAGGAGAAAATTCACTTGGAAAAAGGGTATTACTCAACTTAACCCCTTTTACAGTCTAAATTTCATTGGAAAATGGAGATAACTCAACCTTAGTCTACATGAGTCCGTTTGACAAATTGGCAAAAGGATATAACTCAACTTGTGTTTTTATGAATCTAGTGTAAAAAGAATCAACTCAACTTAACCCCCCTAAATTTTAAATTTCAATTTGGAAAAAAGAGCTAAGTCCAAAAAATACACCAGAGTAACATACACTTTATGCAGACTATTGTTCCACTTGACTTGTCTCCAAATTCCTCTTTGTTTAGGAAATTTAAGGTGAGCTAACTCTGTTTTCCATTTCAACGGAAAGTGATAAGTCGCAGAAATCCTCTACAAAGTGACCTTACACTTTTGATTTTTTTTTCCAAAATTTTACTAATGCTTTTTGAAATTATTAACATGTGCAACATTCATTTGTTTTGTTTTAGTTTTCCCTGCCAACAGTTTTTTGTTTCTCCTGAAAAATGGCCAATATTGAGTTACCCCCTTCTTCCGCTTCCTGGATCAAATGTTCTGTGCGTACAAGTTTCTCATATGCAACGCTCGACCAGCCGCCCTATCAAGTTTAATCCCGCATTGTGATTGAAGGCGGAAACGGAGCACCAGAAGCCATGCTAATACGACAACCAATTTTGATATTTGGAATTTTGAAAATTTGAATGGTGCATTGTAAAGACCGGGAGGATACAATTAAAACAATATAAGGGTTGTGTATACGTAAAATTGATCGTTCGACCGCCAGAGGCGAAAAACCGCAAAATCTGGCGCCGGGACGCCGGGACAGCCTCCGCCTGTGTAGAGAAGAGTATGGATGGGGGGGGGGGGCCTATGTGCTATTGCTGCATTTGCACTTGCTTTGGTATACGCCTGATTGCAAAACTGGTGGCTGCGATCGAGAGTCAAAGCTAGCTGATTTAACAATCATCTGCCAAAAAGTAAATTATTTGTTCTATGTATGCTGAAAATACTTCGTAAGGTTTTAAGAGTGTTCGTTAGATAAGAATTATTTTCTTTGGAAGGTCAAAATACTTGACAAGCTACTCCTCTTTGTAAGGCCGAAAATAGTTTCCATGGTGAGTGCTTATTTACTCTACAAATCAAAGAGTGTACATGGTACGCTCTAACTGGAGCATGCCTGCAAGCACGCTCTAGCTAGCGCATGCCTGCCAAGCATGCACTAACTAGTGCATACATGCCATGTACACGCTAACTGAAGCATACATTTGTGCATGAGAGAAAGGGAGTTTTCTGCATCAGGAATTCCTTAAGCGTGTACATGGCATACTAGTTAGTGCCGGCCTGCTTTGCAGGCATGCGCTAGCTAGAGCGGCAGGCATGCTCCATTTAGAGCATAAGGGAGTATGGGGCGATTTGTAACAGGGGCGATTCGTAACAAATGCGTTTATTAATTTAAGTGGAGGGAGCAGAGGAAAATCTGAGTATGGCCCCTCTTTCGCTTCAAGTACAGGGTCCTTGAACAATCGAAGCGGATGTGATCGGTGCTCAGGTATAGTTTTGAAGGGGGTCTGAAATGTAGGGTACACCGAAATTTCGGCAAACAGAGAAATCTTTTATTTTGAGTTCTAGGAAGTTTCTGTCTGAGGCTCCCCAGGTATGAATCACCATATCGAAGAACCGTTAGGTCCTTGAAGCGTGACCCCTTTACAATGTAAACACGTGGCATAAGTTGCTTTTACTTTGTCCAGTGATAGTTAGGGACGGATTTCTTGCGTAACAGGCATTTGGGGTGGTTCGTAACAGACCCGTATAAAAACAAGAATTTAAGTGGTTTTTGCTGTAAAATGCTTGAATTATTTCTCAAATCATCTGCTGTTTTATTCCAATACATTTACACAGCTCGAAATGCATTTTAAAGCGAGTTATTCTCTGCTTTCCTCTAAAATTGAAAAAAGTGAGGTTAGGATTGACATAGCCTATCAGTTAATGCTGAGGCGGTCAACGGCAGCTTGTAATGTAGATTTTTAGACGTCTGCAGGACACCCGAAGAACAACTGGTGGAGGGGATAACATTCCTGACGATGTTTCATTTAATGTGTAGGATGTTATGAAAAGCCCCATGGCTGTTACAAATCACCCCATGCTGGGGCGATTCGTAACAGCATGCAAGGGTTTGGAAAACGTCTTAGATTTCAAAGATTACGGACTCCAGATTGATCCAATGGAGCTGCACAGTCTAGATGAAGGGCCAGACTGCTCAACTGGCACAAGTTTGACACCGATTTGCAGAATGTTCTTAATTTTGTATAGAGAATTCCGAAATCTGTTACAAATCGCCCCATACTCCCTTACTATGTACACTCTTTGATTTGTAGAGTACATTTATTGTTTTGTTTCCTGACTGCGTAGGTGCACCAGGACAGCGTGAACGTGTGGCCGCAGCGCCGGGTCAGCTCGGGGCAGGCTTGGCCGCTCCTGGAGCTCCACCGCCCCTTGGTCGAGGACGAGGAAGGACAGCTGCCAGACGGGACCCGGGCGCAGACGGAGCAGCGCGTGGACCAGATGAACCTGCTCCGATGGGAGGTCGTGGTCGAGGAGGCCGACCTGGCGCGGATCCTCAAGAAGGTGGGCAAGTTGGTCAGGCTGCCCGGCGTCGGAGGAGTCCGGAGCGCTATGAGGACAACGCTGGTAAGTGCCTATGCGTGCGCACAGTGGGTCAGAAGACCGGCGGAGGCGGCCGAAACTCTAGGCCTGTTTTGAGCTCCCACACTAAGTTACTATGTAGGTTTTTCTGCGCGCCAATGCACGAAATTAAACACGCGCTTCGTAACGCACGAATTTGTGCGCGACAATGCACGATTTCGTGCGCAAGTATGCTGAATTTGAACAGTGAATTTCATTTAATTTCCTGAAAAAATGTTAAATTTCTTGAGAAAATTTTAAATTTCTTGAGAAAATTTTAAATTTCCTGACAATTTTTGATCTTTGGAGGAAATTTTTACTTTTCTGAGAAAATTTTGAGTTTGAAAATGGAATGTCCTTGCGTGACACACCGGTACTAATTACACGCACAGTGATTTCTGTTTGCTTATTACCTCTAGAAAGGTGGCAGTAGGCGTGCATTGCAAGTTACGTATCGGGCGGGACTACCGTTGTACCACGACAGTACAGTACCAGGGACGACGGTCGGTCAGGACTAGATGGCGGATTGCACTCTCAGTATTGTCCGCTAGATGGCGCTAGTGTCGCTTTAGTCACCTGTCACAATTAAAAGGCTCTTCTAGCCAAAAGATAGTGTACTGAAAGTTCTGAATAGATGGAAACCGAAGTGCTAAGATGAGTGCGATGTACCGCTGTAAAAATCATGGCGGTATCAAAACTACTAGAGAAGCAATCGACAATTGAATGGTTCCTCTCGCTGCATGCTACGGGTCGCAGTTTCATCAGGTACAGCAGACTTGTCCCAGTGAAGCGGAGTGACCTTTGCCTTAGTCAGACGTGACTTCCAACCAATTTTTGAATGGAGGTATCTGCCTCTTCGGGTCCTTTGACACCCTTTACAAGTAAAGATCTTCACCCTAGCGTCAGAATATTGTTGCATTTGCATGGGCAGACCGCTTGTCCAGTGGTGGTCCGGCCGAGGTACGGAATGGTAGTACGGGGTTGTACTAGGCCCGTACCACAGATGGATGATGCCGAGGACAGCCAGCAGACTACCCTTTTTGGGCAAACAGTACCTCACCAGTGCTACTAAAGGGGATGAAACGATATCTGTGAGTGCACCTCCAATGGAGGTACCGCGTAGTACGAAATGTTGACTGGGATACGGAGAAAAAGTTCACTGAGAAAACCTTACAAACGATGTTGGGCCTTACAAAGAAAAGTAGTTCGTTATACCAATGTACTTTGAGCATACATAAGGTTACAAAGAAAATACTTCGTAATTTACGAACTATTTCTCCGTATAAAAAAGTAAATTAGTTTGTTCTATGTATACTGAAAATACTTCGTAAGGTTTTAAGAGTGTTCGTTAGTTACGAATTAGTTTCTTTGAAAGCTCAAAATACTTGACAAGCTACTCCTCTTTGTAAGGCCGAAAATAGTTTCCAAGGTGAGTGCTTATTTACTTTACAAATAAAAGAGTGTACATGGTACGCTCTAACTGGAGCATGCCTGCCAATCATGCACTAACTAGTAGTGCATACATGCCATGTACACGCTAACTGAAGCATACATTTGTGCATGAGAGATAGGGAGTTTTCTGCATCAGGAAGCGCGTACATGGCATACTAGTTAGTGCCTGCTTGGCAGGCATGCGCTAGCTAGAGCGCGCTTGCAGGCATGCTCTATTTAGAGCATACTATGTACACTCTTTGATTTGTAGAGTACATTTATTGTTTTGTTTCCTTACTGCGTAGGTGCACCAGGACAGCGTGAAGGTCTCGCCGCAGTGCCGGGTCAGCTCGGGGCAGGCTTGGTCGCTCCTGGAACTCCACCGGCCCTTGGTCGAGGACGAGGAAGGACAGCTACCAGACGGGACCCGGGCGCAGACGGAGCAGCGCGTGGACCAGATGAACCTGCTCCGATGGGAGGTCGTGGTCGAGGAGGCCGACCTGGCGCGGATCCTCGAGAAGGTGGGCAAGTTGGTCAGGCTGCCCGGCGTCGGAGGAGTCCGGAGCGCTATGAGGACAACGCTGGTAAGTGCCTATGCGTGCGCACAGTGGGTCAGAAGACCGGCGGAGGCGGCCGAAACTCTAGGCGCTCTAGGCCTGTTTTGAGCTCCCACACTAAGTTACTATGTAGGTTTTTCTGCGCGCCAATGCACGAAATTAAACACGCGCTCCGTAACGCACGAATTTGTGCGCGGCAATGCACGATTTCGTGCGCAAGTATGCAGAAAATCGTGCATTGTCGCGCACAAATTTGTACGTTACGAAATGCATGCCAAAATCGCTAAACCGCTCTAAACAAGACTCGAACCAAGCGTGTGACCCCACCATTGAATTCCTCGTTCGGAGAGCAATTCATTCGGGGTGTCACACTTTCGGTTCGAGTCCCATTTAGCGACTCTGGAATAAACCGAGCAAAGAAGCACACACAAACTTGCACGTAAACATTTGCGACGCAACAAAACAAAATGCTGCCAACCTATGAAATGAAAAGAGCGTCTATCTTTTCTTTTCGTTCTTGTCTTTTCAGTTCATAGGTTGGCAGCATTTTGTTTTGTTGCGTCGCAAATGTTTAAGTGCAAGTTCGTGTGTGCTTCTTTAGTCGGTTTATTCCGTTTATAGACAGTTGCACACGAGTTTGAGCGCTCGTGGCAGTTAAATCATGAATCGAATCGAACAAAGGGGATGTGACAGTGCGTCACATATGTTGACACGCCTCTAAACTCTGAAAATGTCTCCATCTACTGGGGCAGCCCAACCTCACCAGCGCCTGGTCCATTGTGGATTCTTCACAATGGAGAAAGGGACTTATATTTGTGCTTCTTTCCTTCAAGACCATATTTATATTGCCGCCTTTGTGTTAATTTACTTTGCGACCAACAATAAGACTCAAGTTAATTTAAGGACAATATTAAGTGATGACTGCTATTCGTTGACAAAAACATTCTGAGGTTTGGTCACACGTATTGACATCAGCCGTCTCCATCCTTAGTTATGGATACTCGCGACGCTCGCTGTTGATCTTAACCTACATGGTTTTGGCCAATTCAACGGCCAAACTCGCGTTTTACGGCAAGAACTTGCAGTGAAGTCGTCCTACTTCAGTGACAGTGTGGCTCCTCTGTTGCAGCGACGATGGACGCGTTCCCCGACGAGTTGCTGCTCGAGGTGCTGGGCCGCATCGACAACGACGCCCTGACGCTGCTCGACGTGGTCCCGCTGGTCTGCAAGCGCTGGCACCGCCTGTCCCGGGACCCCGGCGCCTGGAGCAGCGTCACGGTGTCGATCGTAGGCTGCTCGTACTTCGGCGGCCGCGGCAATGGGAAGAGGCATGTGTACCACCACGACGAAATGTTGGAAGCAGCGCGCATCCTCCTCCACGCGCCTGCACTGCGTCGCGTCTGCTTCGAAGGGTACGGCGGTGCCTTCTCGTGCCCCAACGACGCAGAGGCCATGGCCTCTGCCCTGGTGCGCTCACGAGCTGAGGTCCGCGAGATCGAGTTTCCGCAGCCCCATATTCCCGACTATATTTGGTACCCCAGCGACCCTCTAGACGACATGAGTCCGGAAGATCTTTCCCAACTTGTCGATTTCTTGTGGAGGAACAGAAGCCACGTCCGGTATCTGAAGCTGGGTCAAATGCTGCGGGCGGGAGAGCCGGTGCTGCGCGCCTTGGGGCAGTGCGAGAACCTGGAGGAGCTGCACCTCATGCTGCCTGACCCTAATTACTTCCGGTACCAGGGTCAGCTGGGAGGACGACGGCTGCCGAAGCTCAGACGCCTCACGCTCAACTCCTGGTACAATGTGGACGGCTACCGCGCGTTCCTTGAAGACCTCGTCGGCTGCGTGGCCCAGTCTGTGCGCCACGTGCGCTGCGAGGAATCGTGCGAGTCATCCGAGGGTAAGAACACGCCTGTGGGAGCGTTTTACTGAGACAAGTATCCACACTCTCAGCATGTTGCTGACTTTTCCCTCATTTCGTCAGTACTTATGCAAATAATTTGTGGAACCATAATACGTACTTTTCCTTTTTTAAATACCTTCTTGCGAAATATTAAATAATGAACTGACAATTTGGCTTTGTGCATAATTTTACAAAGGAAATTAGTCATACTTCCTTAGAAAATACCAAATGTTACTGTTGCTCATACAAATACATAATTAATGAGAAAAAAGTCAGCAACGTGCTGAGAGTGCAGGAGTAGCGGAAGAAGGGGGTAACTCCATTTTGACCATTTTTCGGGACAAACAGAAAAATTGTTAGCAGGGGAAATTAAAACTACATTACAAACCTAGCCGTCTACATAGCACTTACAAATGCAAGTAAGTATGTACTAGTACTAATATGTTACTAGTACATACTAATATGTACTAGTAACTTACTAATACGTACTAGTATGTACTAGTACATACTTACAACTGCATGCTTGGCGCCGTATATCACGAGTGTCAGGTCACTATGTTTCATCTCAACTTACATTTTCTCAACGAAGTGGAATTTGGAGACAAGTCATGTGGAACTATGATCAGCATAGAGTGTTGGTTCCTCTGGGGCTTTTTTTGAACTTCGCTCTTTTTTACGTTAAAGTTTTTAGAATGAAAGGGGGTTAAGTTGACTTTATTCTTTTCACAGTCAATACATGAAAACAAAAGTTGAGTAGTGTCCTATCAACAATAATTTCGATGGAGTCATGTCGACTTTGATAGAGTTCTCTCCATTTTTTGCTAAATTCAGAGTGTAAAGGGGGTCAAGTTGAGTTATATCTGTTTTCAGAGTGGATTTTCTCCTTGAGTGCTGGGAGTTGAGTCAATGAATTTGGTGCAATGATGCAAACCATTTCAAGCCACAATAATTGAATGAAACGCTTCCTGGATCACCCAAGGAGTGCCAAAAATTGTACAAAGAAATTTAGTGCGTAGTTTGGGTCCTTGTATACTAGATTTGAACCCCGTTTTTGTGAGACCAAAATTTTCGTTTTGAGTTTGACGAGTTTTTGAGGGTGTGCTGCACTGCCAAACCAGGGGTGGAGAGCTCCTCGCATCCTGGAAGAGTGTACCACAAAATCAAATGTGTGCTTACACCACAAGCTGTGGAATTCGTTAGCACAGTAAACAGTCGTGTTCGACTTTAGTCTTTGTTTACGATAAATGTCAGTCGTTTACGACAAATACCGTGAACCGTCGTTATCTTTTTCGGACACATTTTCGTGAAAAAATAAGAAATGTGATATTTGTTGCATTCATGATGTGATTTTCTTCGACAGACGTACTCTCCCAGCTGTCCCGGTGCGTGGAGCTTCGGAGCCTGCATTGCGGTTTGGCCTTAGTTGCCTCGGCCAGGACGCAGACCAAGCTACGCAGCCTGTCGCTGGGGATTTACGACAAGGACCCGTATGAAGACCCGCGCATTTCATTTCCATACGGGGAAAAGGACCAGCAGGGAGTGTGGTCCGCCGCAGAGCGCGCCCTGCGCGCGTGCGGCGAGCTGCAGGCCCTGCAAGAGCTGCGTCTGGATATAGATGATTGCTATGGCCATGACAGCCAGGCCCTGGCCATGCTCCTGGCCACGGTCCTGGCCACCCTCGCCACCAAGGCCACCAACGTGAGGCACCTTTCCCACAGCGGCATGCTGAACCGGCAGCTATGCTGGTCCGGGACTATGCTGGGCTTTTTCAAGGCCCTGCCCCGGCTGGAGTCCTTGCACATCGACTACTTCCGGTTTGACTGCCTCCCTGACTTGGCGGAGGTCGCCGGCTTGAAGAGGGTTTCGGGGCAAGTGACGTATCGGAAGGGCGAGGCGGACGTCTGCCGGGACGCCCTAGAGCAGTTCAAGCGCGCGCGGCCTGAGGTGGATTGCCAGCTCACCGAGCACGAGTCTCTCTATTGAGGTCAGGCATTGACTTCTTTATCAAGCTACAAGATTGTCCTATTTCGCCATCTTCTTATTTACGGCTTTTTACAGTGCTCTTCTGGTTAGTTGAAGTGACCCTTAAAAAATAAATGTGATTTGAATTATCCTGAACGAGTTAATTTCTCCGAACCTTACATCCTCCACTTCCCCCCTCCCCCCGACACACATTATTATTTGAGGCAAGGACTTCGTAGTTAGGGTGCACTCTAAATGTCTTACGAAAAAATTTCCTATATTACGAAGGAAATGGCGCAAGCTTAATACGAAGGTGGTTTTTCATCGTATTACGAAGGTTTTTCTTTGTATCTTACAATGAAAAAGCTAAAAAGAATCGTATTACGAAGAAATATTGCTTCGTATTATGCTTGCGCCGAATTCACTGTAACATATGAATAACATAGGTCAGATTTCATTGTAAGACATTTAGAGTGTGTAATAGACTGTACACCAAAATCCTGAGTAAATACCCTCTCGGATTTTTGTCGATGCGAGCAGAAAAGGGACCCGGAAGCACTCGGGAGTCCCGAGTCTGGCTCGGCTCCGGCTGGATCGGCGCCGACTCGGCAGTGAGCCACTTGCTTGCCTGGGGTTGACCCGATGTACCGGGAAATCCGCCAGGGAGCGAGGCAGGCAGGCGATCACACTAAATTACTATGTACGTTTTTCTGCGCGCTAATGCACGAAATTGTACATGCACTTCCTAACGCACGAATTTGTGCGCGACAATGCACGATTTCCTGCATACTTGCGCACGAAATCGTGCATTATCGCGCACAAATTCGTGCGTTACGAAGTGCATGTACAATTTCGTGCATTAGCGCGCAGAAAAACCTACATAGTAATTTAGTGTGATGCGACTGACGTTACGCCAGCTGACGACTCCAGTTCAGTGTTGCCGACTCGTCTACCCTGCACGCGCAATACAGTACTGCAGTGCGGTCGCGGACGATAGGGAAACTTTTCCTAAGAAAGAAGCTACGTAGTTGTGGCTGCGACCTCGACTTGTTACAGTGCAAAAGTGTTGTGGTCCCTAAGTGAGTGTCCCCGTGACCGGAAGGAACAGCAAGAGTTGAGGGTGAGTACGTGCTGCCGCACATTCCGAACGCCTGAAGGGTGGGTTTAATTTCACATCGGTAACACGACGGTTCACACAAATTTTTTCACACAAATTTCTTTTTACCTATTATGCAAGTTAACACACTTTTATATCGAAGGGTTTCAAGGGGCACGAGGCCACTAGCCACAAGCCATCAAGGCTACTACAATTGTGGCCACGGCGAGCCAAGTACTCCAAGAAGCGGCTGTCTTCTAGGGATATAGTTTCGAATTCGATTCGAAACTTCTTTTTTAGATTCAATTCGAGTTTGATTCGAAATGAAATCCTTGATTCGCACATCCTTACCGTCTTCCTTGTAGTCTTCGTACTCCAGGGCCCCCATCTGGAGAGTCAATCGGCAAGGAACTGCTAATAAATAGGTTCACACAAAAATTGTGTGAACAATGTGTAAACCGTTGTAAATGTGAAATGGTACTTTGTGTGAAAAAATTTGTGTGAAACCGTCTATGTGAAATAACATTAGGCAAAACTTTAGTATGTGAAAAAGTTTGTGTGAACCGTCGTAGAACCTTTCACATCATCCAGCGTGCACTAGGAGAAGAGAGTTCTTAAGCCAAGTGCATTCACCGTGCATTGAAGCTGTGGGAAAAATGCGCCTGGCACTAGAAGTATTTTCGTGAATCGTGGACCGAAGTTAATAGACGCTATGATGGCGGACGATACCATAAGTTGCTTGCGCTATGAGGTCCCGGGAGCGAGGCGGTACGCGCTGTCAAAACCTGTGACCTGTCATTTACGCTCTATTACGATTTAAAAAAATCGATGTTTAGGCCAAAACACCCCCAAAAGTGGTGAAATTTAGAGAATTTTCGGCTATCGCGCGAGTGCACAACCCCACGCCCGGCAGAGTTAAGTTTCTGCCCGATGTTGCCTCTATCCATTAGGTACTTCGGAGAACGTTCAGACCGGCGAGGGTCAGCAGACTTAAACCGGAGATAGGCACTTCGGAAGGAATCCATACCGGAAGTTAACAAAATAACGGGAGAAGCACGCGTCCGTGTCGATCGACGCGTGCTTCTCCCGTTAGCTTGTCGACTTCCGGTATGGATTTCTTCCGAAGTGCCTTACTTCCGGTTTACGTTGGATCCGAAAATGTATCTTATCAGCCTGTTCCAATTGTTTTGGCAATGAAAATGGGCTAGAAGTATGTGTTGCGTAATCTCTTAGCCGTTTGTCTCAAATTCTTCTCATGACGAAAGAAAATGGTATAGGCCTCCAATTCTGACTATTGAACCGTCAAAGACCCTTTCCCATTTTCTCGTATGTCAAACTGCTGGTACGATGCAAGACCCAAATTAGTGTAGGCCTTCATCACATTTCCTCACCGAACGTTTTGAGAGTTCCTTTCCATTATTTTGAGCGTTTGTTTTTCTCAGGTTAGCTTCAGCATGGCAGCCCCCGAGGACAATGACGTCTTCCCAAACCTTGAAGGAGACGATGGAAACGACGATGATTGGGAGAGTTACTACTCTTCTGAAGACGGTTCGTCCAGTTCCAGTGATGAGGTCGCGGAGGAGGACATGTCGCTGCAGACCTCCTGTTCGAGTGAGTCCCGGATATTTTCAAAACACCTCTTATGAAATGTGCTCTCAAATTTAAAGGAAGACCCGAGAGAAACTTGGAAGCAAGCACACACCAAATGTTATGTACATTTTTTGTACGATTGGTCACGATTTTTGTGCAAATGAACTTTCTTTCCAATTTTCGCATTATAAACTGCACTTTTACTCCCGAATTTTGTGCCAAACCAAGTTCAAATGTGTACAAAATGATAATTTGCACAAAAAAACTTTGACATGGTTCAAAGATTGTACTAAAACCATACACAACCAACTGTACAGTTGTCTATGGTTGTTGTCTGTACAGTTTGTTGTCTATGCAAAAACTGTGTGTAAGTTTCAAAACCAACCCCCAAAATTGAGACTTCAGTTATTGATCAGACCAACTTGGGTAAGTTTTCCAAATGAAATTCAACCTGATATATTTATTTGTTTATGAAAAAAGTTACAGTTTTGTGTTTTTAAGAGTGTTACCTTCCTATCTTCCTGCCTCTTTCTGGGACGAAAGGACTTGAAAATATATTTTGGGTTATTCTTAAGATAGGCATAGATTTTACTGATTACCTTTTGGAATTCAGCTTCTGCATTTCTTTTCCACAAAAGCAGCCTTGATCTTGAGTAGTTAATCAAAATCTATTGATAAGTTATCGAAGTTTAAATTCGTAGTTACTTGACTTCTGTATGTGTATAAACAGGGACACAAATAGTCCTTCTACGCTTAATTAAATCTTTGTTGATAAAGTATGGCAGTGAAGCAATGCCTATTAGTAGCTGAAGGCACAGCTGATCAAATCGTGTGGGTCAACATGTTTTTGTTCAAACTTTTTACAAGATAAATTTCCCTTAAAAATTTGTCTGTGTTTTGCACTAAAATGCACTGTTAAGATATGGTTGTACAGAATCAATCAGATGAGTGGAAATTTAGTCATTCTTAAACATCGAATGTCATCACGAACCAAAGCATAAGAAATGTTGTTCAATCCAGAAGGCAACAATTTGTCGTAGAAGAACAAAATTTTTGTTATCACAAATAACGATATAATTTGGTTGCCAATATCTTTTGCCATTATCTGCTCAATTAAACTAAATGATGAAATCATTTGCAATTGTTCTTCTGAGTGAGTTTTTGGAATGCTACTTTCCAATAATACATTATTGGAAAGTAGCACTACAAAAACTTAAGTTAGGAACAAAAGAACTCGGTCAGTTTATGTCATAGAAATTACAATAATCTTTTGGGTTCCAATACTTGTTGACAAACAACATCAAGTTTCTCGTTGTGAAATTATACTTTAGCCGCAATACAATTTTGGTTCAAGAACCTATTTGTCCCAAAACAAATCACGTCGCCAAAAAAAGGGCCATAAATGTGTTGCTATGTTTTTACAAGGTTTTTATCAGTGTGACACAGTAGAGATTTTCTTTACTTATACTAGTTTAAAACGTTCATCTGCAGTATAAACAGTGATGTCTTCTACTAAATTGTACATGTCCTTTTGTGTGAAGCAACGTGTACTAAAATTTGTACCTCACTATCTAATTTCTATCAAGGTAGTACATCAGGTAGGGTTTCCCGGCCAAAATGTTTGGAATTAAAATTTGTCGTAATGCTCTGCGCTTCGCATCAAGTTAAAGCTCCAAACTCTATTTTAAATTACATGCAATTTTGATCTTAACCTACATGGTTTTGACCAATTCAACTGTATAAACGGCCAAACTCGCGTTTGACGGCAAGAACTTGCAGTGAAGTCGTCCTACTTCAGTGACAGTGTGGCTCCTCTGTTGCAGCGAGGATGGACGCGTTCCCCGACGAGTTGCTGCTCGAGGTGCTGGGCCGCATCGACGACCCCCTGACGCTCCTGGACGTTGTCCCGCTGGTCTGCAAGCGCTGGCACCGCCTGTCCCGGGACCCCGGCGCCTGGAACAGCGCCACGGTGTCGATCGTAGGCTGCTCGTACTTCGACGACGGCGACATTGGAGATGAGCATGAGAACCACGACAAGATTCTGAACGCAGCGCGCGTCCTCCTCCACGCGCCTGCACTGCGTCGCGTCAGCTTCGGCTGGTACACCAATTCCCCGGGCCCCTTCTCGTGCCCCTACGACGAAGAGACCATGACGTCTGCCCTGCTGCGCTCACGAGCTGAGGTCCGCGAGATCGAGTTCCCGCAGCCCGAAATTCTCGAGGGCAGTGGCGGTTTGGGGTACCCCGACGACCCTCTAGAGGACATGAGTCCGGAAGATCTCTCCCTACTTGCCGATTTCTTGTGGAGGAACAGAAGCCACGTCCGGTATCTGAAGCTGGGTCACATGCTGCGGGCGGGAACGCCGCTGCTGTGCGCCTTGGGGCAGTGCGAGAACCTGGAGGAGCTGCACCTCATGCTGCCTGTCCCCGATTACTTCCGCCGGTACCTGGGTCAGCTGGGAGGACGACGGCTGCCGAAGCTCAGACGCCTCACGCTTGACTCCTGGTACAATGTGGACGGCTACCGCGCGTTCCTTGAAGACCTCGTCGGCTGCGTGGCCCAGTCTGTGCGCCACATCCACTGCGAGGAATCGTGCGAGTCATCCGAGGGTAAGAACAGGCCTGTGGGAGCGTTTTACTGAGACAAGTATCCACTCACAGCATGTTGCTGACTTTTTCCTCATTTTGTCAGTTCTTACGCAAGTAATTTGTGGAACCATAATACGTCCTTCTCCTTTTCTAAATAACTTCTTACGGAATAAGTAATAATGTACTGACACGAAGGAAATGAGTCATACTTCCTTAGAAAATACCAAGTGTTACTGTTGCTTCTATAAATACGTAATTAATGAGAAAAGAGTCAGTGATGTGCTTGAGAGTGCAGGAATAGCGGAAGAAGGGGGTAACTCCATTTTGACCATTTTTCAGGAGAAACAAGAAAACTGTTAGCAGGAGAAATTGAAACTTGTTTACAGACCTAACCGTCTACTGAGCATGCATTAAATGCCAAGTGCTAAGGAATTGTATCAATAATAACAAGTTCAAGGAGCGTAAGTTAAATTTTGAGATGAATATCACGAGTGTCATGTTACTGCGTGTCTTCTCACCTTACATTTCCTAAACAAAGTGGAATTTGGAGACAAGTCAAGTGGAACTATAATCAGCAGAAAATGTTGGTTTCCTCTGGTGCATTTTTTGAACTAAGCTCTTTTTTCCATTTAAGTTCTTAGAATGAATGGGGGTTAGGCTGACTTGATTCTTTTTACAATCAATTCATATGAACACAAGTTGAGTTATCTCTTATCAAAAATAATTTCGATGGAGTCATGTTGACTTTGATTGAGCTTCTTTGAGACCCTTTCATGGTCTAAATTTCATCGGAAATTGGAGGTAACTCAATCGAAGTCCACATAACTCCCTTGCGCAAAATGGCAAAAGGAGATACCTGAACTTGTGTCTTTATGAATATTTTGTAAAAAGAATCAACTCAACTTAACTCTCCATCTCTAGTTGGAAAAAAGAGGTAACTCCAAAAATGTACCACAGAAATATAGACTCCACGCGGACCTCAGCTCCAGTTGAGTTCACTGATAAAAATTTTGTCGTAACTTAGCGACACATTTATCGCTAACTTTTTTAGCGACAAGATTTGTTGTGGAACGAATAGCTTGTTAAACTGTAGTCGTATTGGAACTAAGGGATAATTTCACAACGACTAACTTGTAATAATGCACCAACAATAACACATCAACGACAAGTATTGAAAGTCCAAAAGAAATTTTATAATGTCTGCGACAATATTCATTGAGTACTTTTGTCGCTAAATTTATTTTGCATGGGTTTTTTTAGACAATAGTAATTTTCCTATGACTTAGAAGAACAAAATAGATGATTATTCATAATATGCTTTAATTGAGGAGATAATTGCAAAAGATGTTGTTTCCACACAAATTGTATTGTAAAGAGTGATAACAAGAATTTTGTTCTTCAACGACAAAATGTCGCTTACTAGACTCAACGACATTTGTTTCGCTTTGGTTCATGATGAAATTCTATGTTTTGGAACGACTAAATTTTCATTCATCTGATTGTTTCTGTACAACCATTTTTTAATAGTGTTGTCTCCTAAATCCACCTCGTTTGGGAGAGCTAAGTGAGCATGGTTCTGTAGTCCATTCCAACGTAAAGATGTAAATCACAGAAACCGTCTACAAAGGGATGCTACTCTTTGGAAAATTTTCACAGTTATTTCTTAGGCTTTTATGACAAAAATCCAATTGCATCATTTATTTGATTGGATTAAGTTTACCCTGCAAACACTTTTTTGTTTCTCCTGAAAAATGATGAAGATTGAGTTGTCCCCTTCTTCCGCTTCATGGATCAATTTACAACATCACTTTTGAGAGTGCATGCTTGCCCATAGCTGTAGACTGATCGCCACTTTTCCTGTTATTTCATAACTGTAATGCATTTATGATGTGATTTTCTTCGACAGACGTACTCTCCCAGCTGTCCCGGTGCGTGGAGCTTCGGAGCCTGCATTGCGGTATGGAGGGGGTGGCCTCGGTCAGGACGCTGACCAAGCTACGCAGCCTGACGCTGGTGATTCACTACAGCGACAAGGACCAGCAGCGAGTGTTGTCCGCCGCAGAGCGCGCCCTGCGCGCGTGCGGCGAGCTGCAGGCCCTGCAAGAGCTGCGTCTGGATGGCGGTTATGACTACCGTAGAAATAAGTGGAGCGCAGAGCACGGCCAGGCCCTGGCCACGCTCCTGGCCACCCTCGCCACCAAGGCCACCAACGTGAGGCACCTTTCCACCAGCGGCATGCTGAACCGGCAGCTATGCTGGTCCGGGACTATGCTGGGCTTTTTCAAGGCCCTGCCCCGGCTAGAGTCCTTGCACATCGGCCGCTTCCGGTTTGACTGCCTCCCTGACTTGGCGGAGGTCGCCGGCTTGAAGAGGGTTTCGGGGCAAGTGACGTATCAGAAGGGCGAGGCGGACTTCTGCCGTGCCACCCTAGAGCAGTTCAAGCGCGCGCGGCCTGAGGTGGATTGCCAGCTCACCGAGCACGAGTCTCTCTATTGAGGTCAGGCATTGACTTTCACAAGAAGATTGTCCTTTTTTTTGCTACATTCTAATTTACGGCATTTTACAGTGCTGTTCTGGTTAGTTGAAGTGACCCTTAAAAAATAAATGTGATTTGTATTATCCTGAACGAGTTAATTTCTCCGAACCTTACATCCTCCGCTCCCCCCCCAAAAAAAAAACCACACACTCACATTATTATTTGAGGCAAGGACATCGTAGTTAGGGTATTTTATACCAAACTCATGAACTAGTTCCCGAAGCGTCCAAATGGCTGGCAAGAAAAATGTGCGCGGGTGCTCTTTACACTCAGAAAAGCTTGCAAAGAAAAGTACTTTGCAGTGCAAAGTATTCTCCGGCATTGTATTACAAACTCTGAACTTTTTTCTTCGCATTGCGAAGAAATAGTGGTAGTTGGCGCGAGACGAAGTTCTGCAACGTTGCAAGCATTGGTTGTCAACGTTTCAAACATTTACTTCATGCAAGCTGTGCAAAAAATACTTCGAATTTGTCTGAATTAGTTTGCTGAGCCCCCAGACGCTTTCATACAATGCCGGAGAATACTTTGCAACGTTTTTTGAGTGTATATATAGACGTACCTAGTTTTCTTCCACTGCACCATGACGTTAAATTAATACTCAAACTTTGTCAGAAAAGTTAAAGCCATTTTTCCGTGGGAGCCAGTTGGTTCGGATGTATCCCACGATGAATCAACGTAAATTCTGTTCGGTTAATCATTTTCATTTAAAACTCGTATCGAAATGGAGACCCTTGGAAACTGTAGTTTAAATTCCAAGGGTCTACATTTTAACAGTTTTAGATAACATTGACAAGTCAGTGGTGACGTACTGCTCGTGTCGCCAACTCTGTGTTTGTTCCGCACGGTTGGCTAATAGCAACCGGGCTTGCAACTTAGAATATAAGAGGTACAAGATTTCTTAGCATGGTGATGTTCGGCCGCGTCAATTTTAAATCTAAAATTTTTTGGCGTAAGTTGCGAAGTATCGACCAATCTACTCTTCGCGTTTTTTTTTTTTTTTCGTTGAATGGCGAAGCTTTCAAAGAGCTACCTCTCCCGGGGCTGCGTCAGACATCTCTTGGTTTCGACGTTTTTTTTTTTTTTTTTTTTTTTTTTTTGACTAAAATATTAGGTTTTGGTGGGGTTGTGGGGCTGTCGAGTACCACATTCTTCAAAGGGTTTATTCATTTGTAAAGCTGTGCACACAAAAAAAAACTTGGTAATTTAGTGCGTGCATTCCTTGACTTCCCTGACTTGCGGCCACCCTATACACTCAATTCTTGTGGACTTTTTGCCCAAAACTATGGCCATACTTGAACACACGAAACTTATGTACAAATTTGTATACATAAATTAGGTTCAATGCCACAATTACACAATGCGTAATAAGCGTAATTGTAATAGACTGTACACCAAAATCCTGAGTAAATACCCCCTTGGTTTTTTTGTCGATGCGAGCAGAAAAGGGACTCGGAAGTAGCGTGTTCCGGATTGGGTGGGCGGTCAAAACCCGATGACTCCAGAGCGACTCCAGAACTCGGCCGGTGAATGCAGTGCCAGCCGCAGGCACTGCCGACGGGATAGCTTAGGCCCTACGCCAGCCTGCTGACAGTACCTGCGGGCGGCACTGCATTCACCGGCCGAGTTCTAGAGTCGCTCTGGAGTCATCGGGTTTTGACCGCCCACCCAATCCGGAACACTACTCGGAAGCACTCGGGAGTCCCGAGTCTGGCTCGGCTCCGGCTGGATCGGCGCCGACTCGGCAGTGAGCCACTTGCTTGCCTGGGGTTGACCCGATGTACCGGGAAATCCGCCAGGGAGCTGGAACATAATCCTCACCTAATCTTTCCGTTTGGACGCTGTGGGGTGGGGTGGCTGGCTGGTCGGCGCTGGCGCCAACAAGCCGTTTCCCAGTACATATCAAAACTGAGGCTTTTTCTGGCGACTTTTGATATTGTATGGCGCCTTTTGGCGATTTTTATCTTTCTTTTTAAATGTGAGTGTCATCGCCAAAAGGTTGGCGATTCTAGCTGTGCGCATTCGAAGGCAAAGCTCAGCGCGTTCTATCTGCTCGTGGTGGGCGCTATTGGAACTACTCGAGAGGTCCGTGGCGACTAACCCCAACACAATTTTCACTTTCTTATTTTGCTTTGTCACTTTAAAATCACTCTCCAGTACAAATATCTAAGTCACCGGTATTGTGAAAATGCCTTTCACTTAACCCAGTTTTAGGCTATTTGCGTTTTTTGACGCTTTCAAGTCTAGAGGTCCCGTGGTGACGTCACAGCCGACGGTGGCGCGTTTTGGCGATCTCAGCGCCATCTCTTGACGATTCGGCGCACCCGGCATCTGGCAACCCTGGTGCCCCGGGCCGCGCGCAGTGAGGTGAGATGGTGGTTAGGTTAGGTTAGGCAGCATTCTCCGTGCAGGCAGCGAGGCAGGCAGGCGATGCGACTGCCGTTACGCCAGCTGACGACTCCAGTCTCCAGTTCAGTGTTGCCGACTCGTCTACCCTGCACGCGCAATACAGTACTGCAGTGCGGTCGCGGACGATAGGGAAACTTTTCCTAAGAAAGAAGCTACGTAGTTGTGGCTGCGACCTCGACTTGTTTCAGAGCAAAAGTGTTGTGGTCCCTGAGTGAGTGTCCCCGTGAACGGAAGGAACAGCAAGAGTTGAGGGTGAGTACGTGCTGCCGCACACGCCTGAAGGGTGGGTTTAATTTCACATCATCCAGCGTGCACTAGGAGAAGAGAGTTCTTAAACCAAGTGCATTCACCGTGCATTGAAGCTGTGGGAAAATGCGCCTGGCACTAGAAGTATTTTCGTGAATCGTGGACCGAAGTTAATAGAAGCTATGATGGCGGACGATACCATAAGTTGCTTGCGCTATGAGGTCCCGGGAGCGAGGCGGTACGCGCTGTCAAAACCTGTGACCTGTCATTTACGCTCTATTACGACTAAAAAAAACGATGTTTAGGCCAAAACACCCCCAAAATTGGTGAAATTTAGAGAATTTTCGGCTATCGCGCGAGTGCATAACCCCACGCCCGGCAGAGTTAAGTTTCTGCCCGATGTGGCCTCTATCCATTAGGTACTTCGGAGAACGTTCAGACCGGCGAGGGTCAGCAGACTTAAACCGGAGATAGGCACTTCGGAAGGAATCCATACCGGAAGTTAACAAAATAACGGGAGAAGCACGCGTCCGTGTCGATCGACGCGTGCTTCTCCCGTTATCTTGTTGACTTCCGGTATGGATTTCTTCCAAAGTGCCTTACTTCCGGGTTACGTTGGATCCGCAAAAGTATCTTATCAGTCTGTTCCAAATGTTTTGGCAATGAAAATGGGCTAGAAGTATGTGCTGCGTAATCTCTTAGCCGTTTGTCTCAAATTCTTCTCATGACGAAAGAAAATGGTATAGGCCTCCAATTCTTACTTGAGCAGTCAAACACTGGTAAAACTAAAGCGTAGTATTACCCACTGTTTTCAAGCGTAATCAGGTTACGCTTGAAATCAAGCGTAACAGGCTCATCCGCCAAGATTCCCCCTATCTAAATGCATGGGGGAATTTCCAGTCTATGCTAGATTTCAAGCGTAACGTCTTCAAGCGTAACTTTATGCTTGAATCAAGCATAGAGATACGCTTTAGTTTTACCAGTGAAGACCCTTTCCCATTTTCTCGTATGTCAAACTGCTGGTACGATGCAAGACCCAACTTAGGGTAGGCCTTCATCACATTTCCTCACCGAACGTTTTGAGAGTTCCTTTCCATTATTTTGAGCGTTTGTTTTTCTCAGGTTAGCTTCAGCATGGCAGCCCCCGAGGACAATGACGTCTTCCCAAACCTTGAAGGAGACGATGGAAACGACGATGATTGGGAGAGTTACTACTCTTCCGAAGACGGTTCGTCCAGTTCCAGTGATGAGGTCGCGGAGGAGGACATGTCGCTGCAGACCTCCTGTTCGAGTGAGTCCCGGATATTTTCAAAACACCTCTTATGAAATGTGCTCTCAAATTTAAAGGAAGACCCGAGAGAAACTTGGAAGCAAGCACACACCAAATGTTATGTACATTTTTTGTACGATTGGTCACGATTTTTTGTGCAAATGAACTTTCTTTCCAATTTTTGCATTATAAACTGCACTTTTACTCCCGAATTTTGTGCCAAACCAAGTTCAAATGTGTACTAAATGATAATTTGCACAAAAAAACTTTGACATGGTTAAAAGATTGTACTAAAACCATACACAACCAACTGTACAGTTGTCTATAGTTGTTGTCTGTACAGTTTGTTGTCTATGCAAAAACTGTGTGTAAGTTTCAAAACCAACCCCCAAAATTGAGACTTCAGTTATTGATCAGACCAACTTGGGTAAGTTTTCCAAATGAAATTCAACCTGATATATTTATTTGTTTATGAAAAAAGTTACAGTTTTGTGTTTTTAAGAGTGCTACCTTCTTATCTTCCTGCCTCTTTCTGGGACGAAAGGACTTGAAAATTTATTTTGGGTTATTCTTAAGATAGGCATAGATTTTACTGATTACCTTTTGGAATTCAGCTTCTGCATTTCTTTTCCACAAAAGTAGCCTTGATCTTGAGTAGTTAATCAAAATCTATTGATAAGTTATTGAAGTTCAAATTTGTAGTTACTTGACTTCTGTATGTGTATAATCAGGGACACAAATAGTCCTTCTACGATTAATTAAATCTTTGTTGATAAAATATGGCAGTGAAGCAATGCCTATTAGCTGAAGGCACAGCTGATCAACTCGTGTGGGTCAACATGTTTTTGTTCAAACTTTTTACAAGATAAATTTCCCTTAAAAATTTGTCTGTGTTTTGCACTAAAATGCACTGTTAAGATATGGTTGTACAGAATCAATCAGATGAGTGGAAATTTAGTCATTCTTAAACATCGAATGTCATCACGAACCAAAGCATAAGAAATGTTGTTCAATCCAGAAGGCAACAATTTGTCGTAGAAGAACAAAATTTTTGTTATCACAAATAACGATATAATTTGGTTGCTAATATCTTTTGCCATTATCTGCTCAATTAAACTAAATGATGAAATCATTTGCAATTGTTCTTCTGAGTGAGTTTTTGT